GGTGAGTGGCAGTTGTCCAGGACGTTATATAACGCCCTACACAGTTAACGGGTTAAGAAACTTTTAAGAAACCATTGTGACATGTTATCTTTTTATTATTTTTTTAAAGAGTCGCAAAGCGGCATTAAATGCAGAAGCCAGTAGAAACCTGTTGATATGTTTTATGTGGGTCGTCAAGAATTGCGATCATAAAGCCTTACGTCAATGGTGGTCAACGTTACCTATGAATAAATTAGCCAATTTACTAGACGTTGTTCATTTTATCATTTCTAACTTTGAATACAAGGTAAGTACTATACACCTTTAATTACATTATAACACCTGTAAAAACAGGAATATTATTTAAAATAAAATAACAACAGTTTTATAGATAGCAATCACACGGTTTATTAATTACAATGTTTCACCGAGGATATTCTCACCGTTATTAATGAGGGTATATAACCTTCTGTAACATGTGTATCATTGCTTGATATCGATGTGAGTATCTTGACTGAAACGTTGCAGTTAATAAATCTAGTGAATGTTATCCATAAAGCTATCTGTTATTATATATTGCATAAACGTATTTGAAATAATTATTTGAAATAGATATAAAAAAATAACTATCTATAAAAATTACTAATTTTTTAAAGTTAAAAGTAAATAATAAATTGTTTAAATAATTATTGTTTTAATAAAATGATATAAATATACAGTGAAAGAATTTAAAACTGATGATGAGACGACAGGCCAGGCCCTAAAAGGTTTGGAATAGCCCCAGAATTATTGTCATTGGCTCTTGATTTCAGTGAATTAAAAACTGAAGTAATAAAGTTTCGATATTTAGGCGTCTGCTGTGTATCTGTATCCACGGCGATCAACTCGTCTTTATTTTTTATTAAGGAAAGGTTTAAAAGTTATGGTTGCCATTCATGTACGTAACTTTTAGACTGAGTAACAAACAAGATGTTATTACTGGGGGTTTTATTGACCATATAGTGCCCATAGAGCATGACTGATAGAAATTGGGGAGGCCTTGGGCCGTCAATCAGGTGTTAAATTCTTTCACTGTCAATCTGTTGAATCTTCTGCTAAAATCACATTTGTTACTGATACTTGGTTTTATTATTAAACCTATCAGGGGCTAAAACCCAGAGTTATAAAACTTTCACAGTTTAAATAATATCAAAATTTCTTCACGAGATCCAAGTTTTTATGAAGAGGCTAAAGAACTAGTTTGATCTAATGGACGTTTTTTTTCTGTCTTTGATAACATCTTAGAATTTTAATTCGACCTCTTCCACTGCCATTTGAAAGTTTTCTAAGTCTGGGTACGTTTCTTGAACACAGATTTACATCAATTTGATCGTAAAAACAGTAATCAAACGCAACCAAATTTCTAAAAATAGTTGAAACGTCAGGGCTTGTCTGAGGAAAAACAACGGTAGACTGTCACTGTAGTCTCCAGGTTGGCGAGTACTGTTTCATTGGTGCTCAGGGTTTACAGTAGTCGAGCAGCGAAGGCTTCTAAACTCTCGCCAAGTTTGTCATAGAATCACAGGTTTACAGTAGTCGAGTAGGGAAAGATAGTATACACTCTCGATCAAAATGTCCCGAAATCAAATATCAGCAAGGGCTGAGAAGAACATTAGGGTTTTTCAATCCCAGATCCTACTTGTCAGTAGTATCATCATCATGGCTGTCAAGTAAACTTGTCTAGTTCCCTCTTTGACAAGGATAGTACCCTAGTCATTTGATGAAACATACAATGGTGCGCAAATAAAATAACTTATTGGATAGTTAGGTATTATTGTCCTACTTTCCTGCATCAGCTGGGCTAATGAAGTCGTGGTTTGGAATTAGATCCAGAATAGGTATACACGTCATTGCCTAGGCAACATCATCCTCCACACCATATGTTAGTCTCAAAATAACCAAAGTAATGTGTTGACAAGACATTAAACACAAGTCCACTTGAGTTGATCATCACTCAGTTATTTCAGCAAGCCCTGTCTTTCATTCTACAGTACATTTATATTTTTACAAAACATTTCAAGTTTTCAAGAAACAATATCCTTCTGTCTTTGTGCTGACATCGCAAGCTGTGCACTTGTGGATATTCACTTCACACTTCCATAGTAGAAAGAATATTTTAAAAACTCGGAATCTAATTCTTAGTTTAATGATGCTAATTTTTCTGCTTCCAAAAATTCATCTTCTTTTTACAATCAATTTGGTACGATTGAAAATTTATCATTTCTTACATCAAGTACATTTAGAAGTTTCATAGCTTCCTAGAAAAAAAATCAACATTGAAAGTAATTGAATTGATTTAGTTTTTGTGCCAAATTTCTTTATAAGTTACCTAGGTTACCTGGAAAAAAAAAATTAATTTATTATTAAATGATTGCTTTATATTAATTAACTTTCTATTTATTAAGATGTTATATTTCTGTCTATATTAGTAAATGATTTAAACTCATATTTATTGTTCTTGCTGATTAGATTTATTTTAATTAGGCTTTTAGTGGGTTTTGTCATTACTTTTTGTGTGGAATAATCATTATATGGTTTGGTTGAGTCTCATAAATATATATTTATATATAATTAATAGATCTAATACCTAGATTTAATATTTCAAGTTGTATATATATAATAACAATGTTTAGCACCTTGATCAGCATGTCGAAATCTTTATTTACATTGGTGTGGGTTTTTATATCAGTTTAGCTCTTCTAATAATTACTATAACCCCCCCTTGTCATCAATAGGCAAATCATTTACAGTGCTCTTCTGTTCACTCCCCCTGCCAATCTTCTGTTTACTGATTTCATTGGATGGTGTGTAGTCATGGTAGTGTGTGGTCAGTAACGATATATTCTCTCTAATCAGTCTTCCGCTTGAAACAATAATTCTCTAAGATTCCTTAAAAATTGACTTTCTTTGATATTCTGTCATAATGCGTTTCAAGATTTTGAATTTCAGAATTTTTTTTTATAAATATGGGTGTACAAAATGCATGTTGTTTGATGTTGCCATCGTACAGAAATTACCTTTTTTTTCCTTGAAAATTGAAACATGAACGGAGCATGAAATATTTGTACATGAAGCTTGTAAAAGAAATCTTGTTAGTGTGAATGTTACTGGATGTTCCATAATTGTAGCTGCTGTTACAAAACCTGCATATAGTTATTTCTTTCTTTTGCTAAATAAAATATCTTTTAATTTGATTTAAAAGTCTGGAGAAAAATCGTTCTGACATGATGAATAAAATGCCTTCTTTTGGGAGGTTAAAGGGGGGTGGGGAGCATTGCTCTATGAAATAAGTACAACCATCGTTGCTGGAAAGTGTTATGAAAATACCATTTTCCTCTCTCAAACAAGGGGGGTTGGATGGCAGAATGGTTAGCACGTGCGCGCTGTATCATAAGGCCTGTCATTGAGTCAACTGGCGTGGTTTCGAATCCCCGGTTGTACGTGACAAGGAGTAGGGTCGCCTGTCCAACCTTGTGGGTTTTCTCCGGGTCCTCCAGTTTCCTCCCACTGCTAAAGAGACCCATGCGCAAGTGAATTGAGTGTACGTTAAACCCCATTTCTCTCTCTCACTCTCTCTCTCTCAAACAATATTTGAAATTACACAATTTAAGAATCAAATTGTCAATATTTATTTATCTGTTATTTTATTATCAGATTGTCTGATAACTCCATATTCATTCTCCCATCTTTCATAATGATGGGTGGGGGGGTCTGAATGGTTTCACATGTGTCATTGAGTCCAGTGACGTGGTTTTGGTTCTTTGATTGTATGTGACAAGAAGTAGGGTTCTCTGTTCAAACTCTTGGTCTACTTAGGGCCCTTTGGTTTCCTCCGACTGCTAAAGACCCCTACTCACAAGCGAATTATTGAAATAAAATTGAACCATATGTTCATCCTAGTTTGTGTTGAGTGGATGCCATAAACCCCATTTCTCTTTCTATCTTATCACCCTGCATCACTCACATCTTTCGCTAATGCCTTGTGTTGAAAATATATTCGTAAAATTTATCCTTAGAAGTGTTTTTGCTTTGTGAAACTCCACATTCGCTCTTCTGTGTGCATTTATGTAGATTGCTATTTGATGTACAGTTATATAGACTGTTTAATGTAGTTTGTAGATGTCGTATTGCCGCTTGATTTACATTTAAATTATATTTATGATCTATTTTCGTTTCTACCAATATGGCTGAAGATAATGCACCGTTGAAAGAACTAATCTGCCTATTTAGAACCATTTTTAATTCCCCGTAGTTAATATTAGACCTTGTTTAATAAAACATAAACCCTATACGTAGGGGGTGGCCAACCTTTCATAGGGATGCAGTGAGACACTTCTAATCATCCAAGATGATGGAGGTTGGTCATCCTACCATACAGTATTTGGCATGTCAATTAAATTACTAATTATTGTATGAGTTATCTCCCCTCCTCCGTTTAATTGGTTGGTCATTAACCTGAAGTATATTATACTAACTACAATAACCCAATTTAATATTAATTTTGACATTTTTATATTCAAATTTCTTGGCAGCATGGAAATATGTTATTATGAATTTTCTATAGAAATATTATAGACTACATATATTATATCATTACTGATAATTAATTTAACCAACATGTTGAACAATTGGAAGCCATACTTAGAAATTAAATTCAATTTGCGACATTTCAGTAAATAAATTAGCCATTTTGATGAAAGAGGCTTAACTCCATTTCATTTCTTAAAGACATCCATCTCTATAATAAAAACTTTTTTCATTCATTCATCAATTCGTCAATCATTCTCTTCCCTTCCCCCTTATCCCTCCCCCCTCCCTCATTCCCCCAATCCTGTAGATCTAGACCATTACCTATACATAACTCAATTTATTTTAAGACACACCCAGTTTTCATTCATAGCCACACCCATTTTCCATAGCCATATATATGAAGCAAAATTATCTGAAACCTCCACAAACCTCAAATAAAATTTATTAAGTTAATTTGAAACGAAAATACTGTTTGTCAGTAATGAATGACATTATAGAGAGATAAACAATATATGCATATTCAAAAAATTCTTTTTTGACGAAAAGTAGGCAAAAACATCAAATTATCTCCCCTAGCACACAAAACCATGAAAAATAAAATATCCATGTGACCAAGCAGACCACGTATACTCATGAAAAGTAGTTGACCTGTTAAAAATGTACAATTGCGTCTGTCTGTATCTGTCCCAACATAGATTTATATATTTAGTGATCGTATTCATTGTTGCTTTTCATGTTTTCTTTGCTTTTTATGTTTTACACACCATAACATTCATGTGCCATATTTTAATCCCAATTTTTTGGTAATTTTTGTTCTATAAAATAAAGACTGACACCTTCTCCAATGGATATCACTGTTACAATGCATGTCATTTTCTTGGTTCATAAATATTAAAATGCCTCAGAAGGCCTATAAATGTTTCCCTTATTTAGATTTAGAATAAAAAAGAAGAAAAAGTATTCTTTCGGTACATATAGTCATTTAGATGAATTAAAGTAAAAATACTGTAGGTCAGATACCGTCTTGACCTTGATGTTCATAGATAGAAATAAACTATCATTCCAACATCGTCACACGAGGAGCCGCCATGGCTCAGTGAGTTAATAGCATGAATTTAATAGAAAGTGTGTGTGTGGGGGGGGGGGAAATGGCTGAATGGTTAGCACATGCGCGCTGTATCATACGGTCTGTCATTGAGTAAAATGGCAAGGTTTCAATTCCCCGGTTGTACCTGACAAGGAGTAAGGTCACCTGTCCAACCTCGTGGGTTTTCTCCGGGTCCTCCGGTTTCCTCCCACTGCTAAAGACCCCTACGTGCAAGCGAATATATAAAATTGAACCATATGTTAGTCCCGAAATGACCTAGTTTGTGTCGAGTGGACGTTAAACCCCATTTCTCTCTCTATATATCTACACACTCCACCTCTGTTATTAGGACTGACAGATCTGTGACATGACTGAATTCCACGTTACTCGATTATAATTCTGTCAATTCGTGACGTTCCGGACTGACAATTAAGCAACCCCTATGTGTAGTTTTGTCTTGATTATTGTACAGACTACACATGACCTGAACATGCCTTATATTTGAATCATTTTTAGTAAAGAGTATACTGGCATGTTGCTCCACTAACAAGGTTATCACACACCATATTGTTTGATACCATAGCATGATATCCAATCTCATCACTACTCATCTTTCCCTAGAGTTATCTACCCTTTTACATCCTCCTATTCCTAGAGACACAAAATTGCTAAGATACTTCTAGTTTCCTGAATAAACCAAGCTACATAAATATTTCTTTTTTAATTTTGCATCGACTTAACTGGAATTTGAAAAAGTAAAAATAACATCCAAAGTAGCACTTGACAACAATTTCTATTGTTTTGGAAGCTAGAAAGGACGCAGTAACCAAAATGGTCGCTAAGGTATGGTTTATGGAGACGAAAACCTCTCAAGGACGGATAACTCTGTCACATTTACCAAGACCTCTCTGGCCCTGGATGGCATCTAGGGAAGGGTAACTCTGTCTCCCTCATCAAAGACCTCTCTGGCCCTAGATGGCATGTAAGGGTGTATAACTCTGTCTCCATCATCAAGACCTCTATCGCCCTGGGTGATATCTAAGGACAGATAACTTTCTCCCTCTCATCTACACTATCCGGTTGAATTATTTTATTTCTCAAATTATTGAAACCAAAAAATAATATAAAATATTGAATGCTTCCAATTGCCAACATGTGCCATTTTGTCTTGTTATCTTGTCTGCAGGCCAAATGGGCCATGGTCAATTTCGACCTTGCATCCCAAAATTCGTCATCGGATGAAACTCTGGAAGATTGGCAGGATGGTCTGACTAGCATTTCCACTCAACGCTCTAAAAGTAGCCTCCTATCCAAGCCCACCTTGCATGAACAACTCTGGGAAGGCATTCAAAGAAAGTCACATGACTTCCTGCGGGGCACGGGAACCTTGTTAAATAGAAGTTTCTCGAAAGAAGAACAGCTGATGTCATCACAGGTACTTGGTTTGGCAGGGGAAGTAACACTTGTTGAGGGGGAGTAACTCTTGTTGAGGGGGAGTAACTCGTGTAGAGGGAAAGTAATTCTTGTAGAGGGGAAGTAATTCATCTAGAGGGGCAGTAACTCTTGTAAAGGAGAAGTAATGTTTTTGATTTTCAAATGATATCATATTTTATATAGGTTAAAATTCGGAGCACTTCTGAGCACTTTGGTAATGGTTTAGGAATCCTCTAAGGTTTATTTCTAAAATTAAACAGTGTTTTAGGTTGGGGTTGGTTTGTTTTGTTTTTTTTTGTTGAAATCTTGTCGTAGTTTAGAATGGTTTTCATGAACCCTAAATAGAGAGTTATTTATATATAACCTGATTCAAATACAGATCTATATTTCGTTTCGTTTTTTTAATACTTTCGATGGCCTACACTACATGAAGATCTGACCGGTTGTAGCGATAGGTCGCGTCAGAAATCGTACGAGCGGCTTTTGACCCTATAATGTCAGACATTTGATTAACCAATCAGCATTGATGTTTCCAGTGGATTACACACATTTCTTGGCAACAGACCGTTTCAGTGGCTAATCCCTCTCATTATCCAGAACACATCAATGATAACAAACAACTCTTCCAGATCCTAGTGTGGGGGGTTGGATGGCTGAATGGTTAGCGTGCGCGCGCTGTATCATAAAGTCTGTCATTGAGTCGACTGGCGTGGTTTCGAATCCCCGGTTGTACGTGGCAAGGAGTAGGGTCGCCTGTCCAATCTCGTGGGTTTTCTCCGGGTCCTCCGGTTTCCTCCCACTGCTAAAGACCTCTACGCGCAAGCGAATTATGTAAATAAAATAAAACCATATGTTAGTCCCGAAATGACCTAGTTTGTGTCGAGTGGACGTTAAACCCCATTTCTCTCTCTCTCTCTCAGATCCTAGTGTAGTAAAGACAAGTAAAACGAAATTTTGAACCATAAAAAATAAAACGAAATAGGATCAGTGTTTTAAACAGATTGCCAGATTTTTGGATTTGGGTGGAATAATAATAATAATAGTTAACGATAAGGTTGTCTTAGAAACCATTATAATAATGATATAACAGAATCGGCATGAGTTGCTATCATATTTATATATCAGATACTAGTCCACCATATTATGTCATGGTATTTCATTATTAAAAGCATCAAACTAAACATAAATATAGCGAATATAGGGTAGTCCCAACACATAAGACTTGTGTAACGAATATAGGTCCGTCCCCGCTGACTTCTAGCAGAGAAGACTTGTGTAACGAATACAGGTCCGTCCCCGCTGAACATAAGCAGAGAAGACTTGTGTAACGAATATAGGGTCATCCCCACTGAACATATTATTAAATGAATGACTAGACTTCTATTCAGCGGAAACTACTCTATATTTTTATTAATGTCTTTTGATCCAGTTGTTGGTTTGTAGTGCCACTGTCTGGGCTAACTTTCCCTCATAGACACACTGTATGGCATATGCCCGGCCCGGCTTCATTAGCCCAGTAGGAGCAGAACAGTAGGACGTTAAACCACATTTCATTTCATTTATTTGTTGATGACTGTGTCTACCACATAGATTACAAAACTCCAACATCATCTCTATTTACTTCGGTATGAACACCTTATGGTTTTAGGAAACGGACCATTTATCTGCTGGGACCGGGTAGAAATCAGTGACTGGTTATATAAACTTTATAACATTGTGATACTTGCCTCTTCACCTTGGGGGTTGGATGTTTGAATGGTTAGTGCGTGCCTGGTGTATCATAAGATCTGTCATTGAGTCAACTGGCGTGGTTTTGACAAGGGGTAGGGTCGTGGGTTTTCTCTGGGTCCTCCGGTTTCCTCCCACTGCTAAAGACCCCAATGCGTAAGCGAATTATTAAAATAAAATTGAACCATCTGTTTATCCAGAAATGACCTTAGTTTCTATAGAGAAGACTTAAATCCCATCTCTCTCTCTCTCTCTCCCTCTCTCTCTCTCTCTCTCTCTCTCTCTCTTTTCAAGGGGCCCCATGTCAGTTGAGATATCAGCACTGGTTACTCAACTGGATAGTTCTGGTGTGAACTAAGAGAAACCTTGATATTTGTTTCTCAACTGTGGCATGCACTTGCCATCGGTGATGTGTATAGGGTTGAAGGAATGCCTACCTAGCCATTCAGTCGGGTCATGAAACCAAGTTCTACCCATGTAGACATTGGCTCCTCTTGACAGTTGACAATCAAGGAGAGACATCGTAGTCTTAACAGGAGAGACATTGTGTCTTGTAGTCCATCGGGAGAGACAGTATGTCCTGAGTTTTGTAATCGACCTGGTAGAGACAATACAACAACATTGAAATAGAATTATCAGTTAAGCAATTGTCAGTGAAATTGTCTCGTCTTGACTCATTGACTGAAAGATAGTGAAGTGGAGCAGCTGAAGAACTTACCTGTCAGTTAATTTACCTGTCATATAACAAAATATACATGAGATCAATAGATACTGGATCAATATAAATATCAATCAATGAATCAAATTATAATACCAGTCACATTCCTGATATTGGATATTTAGCGCTGTATCTATGGGCCTATCTCCTGATATTTGATATTTAGCGCTGTATCTACAGTCATATCATCTGATATTTGATATTTAGCGGAAGTATCTACAGGCCTATCTCCTGATATTTGATATGTAGCGCTGTATCTACAGTCATATCATCTGATATTTGATATTTAGCGGTGTATCTACGGGCCTATCTCCTGATATTAGATATTTAGCGCTGTATCTACAGTCATATCATCTGATATTTGATATTTAGCGGTGTATCTACGGGCCTATCTCCTGATATTAGATATTTAGCGCTGTATCTACGGGCCTATCTCCTGATATTTGATATGTAGTGCTATATCTACAAGCATATCTCCTGATATTTGATATTTAGCGCCATGTATACAGGCACATCTTTTGATATTTAGCACTGTATCTACAAGCATATCTACAAGCATATCTCCTGTTTATGATTCATCCATCGGATTCATTTCTAAATTTGTTTTTACAATTTTTGTTTTATTCTGATTCAAATGCCATGGCCAATAGCTAAAATGTATTCTCTAGGATTGTGACTCTCAACTGATAAATTATTTTAGTTTAAGTTTTAATGAATTGGGCCCCCGATTTATATTTCATTTTGTTTGTTATACTTTCTATGGCCTCCACTACCCTAAGACATTGTAGTGAAGAGGGGAGCCACGGTGGCTAGGTGGTTAAGACGCTGGCTCACTAGCCTGGAGGTCGGGTGTTCGATCCCTGCAATGGCCGAGAAAGTTCATCCTGAATTTTCCGACGTGGTTTCCCCTTGTCAGTGGTGCAGAACGGAGGGCCTGACAAGGACAGTTGTCTAGTCCTTCGGATGAGACGAAAAACCGAGGTCCCGTGTATACATTAGAATGCACGTAAAAGATCCCTTGGCAGTTGGAATTCGATATAAGAGTAGGCGATAGTGCCGCTGCCCGGGCAAAATTTCCCTCATAGCACACTGTATGGCATATGCCCGTCTTCATTAGCCCAGTATAGGAGCAGAACAGTAGGACGTTAAACCCCATTTCATTTCATTTCATTTTGTAGTGAAGACAAGTTAAATTGTTTTGAAATATAAAAATCAAAAGTAAAATAGGATTGGTATTTTAATCAAATTATTTTCGTTTAATATCAGGTCAAATGTAAAATTTTCTACCAGTGGGGCCACACCCCAATTTAATTCTCTGTTCTTCGGGAACTCCTGTTAAACTTTTTCTTATTTCTTCGGGGAAAAAAGCCTAATTTAAATACCAAATCTACTTGGTTGCACTCTTCAAAAGATTTTAGACCGAATTTTGTTGGGGGGGTGGATGGCTTAGTGGTTAGCACGTGCATGCTGTGTCATTAAGTCTGTCATTGAGTCAACTGGCGTGGTTTTGAATCCCCGGTTGTACGTGACAAGGAGTAGCGTCGCCTGTCCAACCTCGTAGGTTTTCTCCAGGTCCTCCGGTTTCCTCCCACTGCTAAAGACCCCTACGCGCAAGCGAATTATGGAAATAAAATTGAATCATATGTTAGTTCCGAAATGACCTAGTTTGTGTCGAGTGGACGTTAAACCCCATTTCTCTCTCTCTCTCCAAATTTTGTTAGTTTTGAAGTGATTATTTATTTATTTATCAACATCCCGAAGTAGAGAAAATCAGGTCCCGAGTTTACAAATCATTCTCAGATTTAAGTCAAGAATTTACTCAAAATTGTCTGGCTTGTTTTAAGTAAAATGTAGCCCTTTATAAAACTTTTATTGTTTTAATGTATCAAATACATCAATAAGAAATTATGTGTAAAGTTTTGTGTTTTTAGATCAAAGATATTTCTCATAAACAGTGATCGAAAGTTGAGTAAATTTCTAACTTAAGTCTGAGAATGCTTTGTGAAATCGGGGCAAGGTTGATGTGGTCCTACACAAGTCTTTTTATATCAAATATTTGAACATTTATCAATAAAGTGAATATATCTGTTGACGTGACAACAGATCATCTGTTGAGGTGACGACAGATCATCTGTTGACATGACGACAGATCATCTGTTGACGTGACGACCGATCATCTGTTGACGTGACAACAGATCATCTGGGTTCTTCCTGTATTGATATTTGTTGATATATTTGATGCAGGTATTATAAAATAATAATTGATCGTTGATTACAACTAATTATATTATATATAATACTAGGGTAAGAAAACCATGAATCAGTATTCACAACAAACCTTGAAGAAATCAGTGGATATGAAATCAAAATTAGAGGAAGCAATCCTCGGAACTGGTAATGCCAGAACTGAAATGATGCTACGCAGACGGCAAAACTCCATCAGCTCAGGTAAATATTTATATAGGAGAGAGGTCATATAGGCCATGTCTGTTTTTCGATCCCTTCCTGCAGGACGGAGGGCCTGGCAAGGACAGCTGTGTAGTCATTGGATGATACAAAAAACCGTGGTCCTGTGTATACATTGGTGTGCACGTAAAAGATCCCCTGGTAGTTGTAATTCGATATAAGAGTAGGCTGTAGTGCCCCTGCCCGGACAAAATTCCCGTCATAGCACACTGTCTGGCGTTTGCCCGTCTTCATTAGCCTAGTCGGAGCAGAAAAGTAGGATGTTAAACACAATTTCATTTCATTTCGATCTCTTTCAGTTTTGAATAAAATATTATTTAAAAAAAATATAAATTTTGAAAAATCCAATTTTAAGCTGTATAAGATGATAACTGAAAACAAAATCTTTGCCATCCTTTAAAATTGATATCATTTAACTTACGGTAATCTGTGTATGTAAAATTAATATCATTTAACTTACGGTAATCTGTGTATGTAAAATTAATATCATTTAACTTACGGTAATCTGTGTATGTAAAATTGATATCATTTAACTTACGGTAATCTGTGTATGTAAAATTGATATCATTTAACTTACGGTAATCTGTGTATGTAAAATTAATATCATTTAACTTACGGTAATCTGTGTATGTAAAATTGATATCATTTAACTTACGGTAATTTGTGTATGTAGAATTGATATAATTTAAATTTCGGTAATCTGTGTATGTAAAATTTTGAATATTCAGTAGTAAACAATTATATTATGTTTTGACAGAAATTAAAGAAGTTCCTTGTGTTAGATGTTGTAGACTCTGAAGGCAGGGTTTACTTCATCCACTTTACATCGTACTAGTCACTGGAACTTATTTAAACATTACCTGGGCTATTTAATTATAGATAGATAGATTCAGGATTGTTAATTGTCTATTAAAGATACATTATGGGAGATTAGATAAAGAGCTGGCAGTTCTCACTATAATAGTTTAAAATTAGATAATGTAAAGGGAATTCGCTGAGAATTTCAGTCAAGTTGATCCACTATGAACCGAGAATTAAGCGATTGAAATTACGGCCTTGCCCCGATCATCATTACTAAATTCGGTACAATAAAAACATAGTCTCAATTATCCAGTTCATGATTAAATCATGAATGAAAGCTGAGCAGCAAATAGGATCATAATCCAATAAATATCGCAGACTAGCGATGCCACCTAGAGTTGATTATAGTCTGGATAAGTTAATTAATGTCAAATTAATAATTGAGATAACATTTCAGGCCTAAAGAAAGAGTGCAATTGGCAGATAGGTAATGATGGTGGGTGTGGAGGTAGATTGTTAATTGTCTATAAATAGTTTCATGTGATTGTACCCCACCTTTGATAGGTAATGATGGTGGGTGTGGAGGTAGATTGTTAATTGTCTATAAATAGTTTCAGGTGATCGAACCCCACCTTTGATAGGTAATGATGGTGGGGGTGGAGGTAGATTGAGATGGAGGAAAGATCAAGTACAGTGGAGACATTCTATGGAAATACACGATGGGTATAATAACTTTTGTTAGTTTACTGATAGGTGGTTTAATATAATTATATGTAAACAGCATGTCAAGTCAGCAGTTCAGCGGGATGACAGAGCCTCGAGCTAGCAGTTTTAACTAGAGGCCAGCAGTTCTAACTCGATGACAGCAGTTCTAGCGGAATGTCAGCAATTCTAGCTAGAGGCCAGCTGTTCTAGCTAGAGACCAGCAGTTCTAGCTAGAGGCCAGCAGTTCTAGCAAGAGGTCTGCCATTCTAGTTAGAGGCCAGTCATTATAGCTAGAGGCCAGCCATTCTAGCTAGAGGCCAGCTGTTCTAGCTAGAGGTCAGCTGTTCTAGCTAGAGGCCAGCAGTTCTAGATAGAGGCCAGCTGTTCTCGCCGGATGTCAGCAGTTCTATCTGATGTCAGCAGTTCTAGCTAGAGGAACGTTATCAGTTTCTTACATTATTATTATTATTATACATAAAACATGCCTTTATATTTTTGTTGTAGTCCGACGAAGCCAAGAGATATGGAGATTGTTTGCCATGTTGAAGGAAGTTTAGCAGCTGAAGTTAGCATGATATCATTAGATCTTCTAGAATTAGTCATGCAGGTAACATCCTTATAACATGACTTCTTATCACTGGTGTGGTTTTGAATCCCTGCTTGTACGTGACAAGGAGTATGGTCGCCTGTCATGGGTTTTCTCCGGGTCCTCCGGTTTCCTCCCACTGCTAAAGACCCCTACTCTCAAGCGAAATATGTAAATAAAATTGAACCATATGTGAGTCCCGAAATGACCTAGTTTGTGTTGAGTGGACGTTAAACCCCATTTCTCTCTCTCTCTCTCTCTCTCTCTCTCTCTCTATCTGCATGTAGCCGATCATGAATTCTATAGGGACAATCCTATCGCACGACAGTGGGAACCAGACATAATAGAAGAATCTAAAAGAACCCTCCTTAGCACACTGTCTTTATTAGCCCAGTTGGAGCAGAATAGTAGGACGTTTCATTTCATTCATTATGGTTTAGTACTTTCTATATATATATATACATACAAAACATTAGTTTAGAATAAAGATCATTTGTATGATATAATGATTATCATTAGCAGAGGTCGCAGTCACGCAAAAATCTGGGTATTTCACACATTTTTTTCAAAATAAACGCAAATATTAACGGATCCTGCGTAATTTTCACGCAGAAAATTTCCCTGACTTGAGAATAATTACATTATTCTATGTCGTAGTTTGTACAATTTATGTGCTTGACCCGGCATTTACACACCTCTACTGCACGTAGTCTCCGTAGTTTTTTATATTTCCTCTTATTTCATTCATAAGTTCATGGCAGTAAGCCTACGTAGCTACATGTATCCTATTGGAAGCAATAAAGCGCATTTCATACAAGACTTGGGATTGGCTAGAACACGATATACTGTTTACATTCAGCCGATCAAATGTTGCCTTTTATATCGATAGTTTTCTCTTTACGTCCTGTCGAAGTGAAAGATTGAAATGACTGTGCCGTCAACCATAGACATGCCGTTAACCTCCAGTCATGATTAGACTAAATACAGTAGGCATATCAGTGAAATAAGGACGCTCAAAATAGGGTTGTTCACAAAACAACTTTACATGCTTCTATATTGAGTATTTTGAGAGACTCTAAGTCACGCAGATGTAGAGGGCAAAAAAGCAAAATTTTGGAATGTCTGCGTATTTTTACGCAACTCGAAATTGATCCACTGTGACCTCTGATCATTAGGTTTACAAGTCAATGGTATGTTTATATATTTCAGATTGCTCAAACATCAGATTTAATGCAGCCGTTATTAAGCAGTGCGTTACGCGTGTTGTTACACATGTTCGCCTTGAATCAGAGTTCGTTGGTTCTACAGAATATGTTCGCTACACAGAGAGCTTTAGTCACGCGGGTAAGATTTACATATTAATATTCTACACACCTTTAGTTAAACAGGTAAGATTTACATATTAATATTCTACACACCTTTAGTTACACAAGTAAGATTTACATATTAATATTCTATACACCTTTAGTTACATAGGTAAGATTTACATATTCTACACACCTTTAGTTACACAGGTAAGATTTACATATTCTACACACCTTTAGTTACACGGGTAAAATTTACATATTCTACACACCTTTAGTTACACGGGTAAAATTTACACATTAATATTTTATACACCTTTAGTTACACGGGTAAGATTTACATATTCTACACACCTTTAGTTACACGGATAAAATTTACATATTAATATTTTATACACCTTTAGTTACACAGGTAAGATTTACATATTGATGATATTTCATGCACAGATCCTGAATGAATCTAAACGCGGTTCATTGAAAACTCATTAGAAATGTCATTTCTCAAGTTTTATAGTGACATGAGTCATATCATTCTCAAAATTTATTGTGAGCGAAGTAGGCAGTTTTTTTTTTAAATAATTTATTATTGGAGCAGATCAAATGAAATTAGTTTTAGTTTGTCAGAGTTAGGATAAATAAATAGCCACTTTTCCCATTGGTGCAGTAAAGTACCAATAAAAGATGGCAGAGTCTTGTTACACTCAAGCAACATAAATCGATGAAATTTCAGCTGATTATAACTTTATAAATACTGGACGGAATTCAATTATTTTTGGAATTATATTCCTTTTAAGAGACTCAACTTTCACAATATTGTAGTTTGCAAGGGATTCCTTTATCGATAAAATGATGATTCAAGCCTTTAAATAATTTATAGTAAATTGTGAAAGAAATATATACATAAATACTTACTTTTTGGACTAAAATTCTTTTTAGAGGTGAAAAATTCACGATATAATAGTTTACAAGGGATTCCTATAGCGTTCAAATGACGCAACAAGACTTTGATAGAAGAACTCCAAGGAATGATATAGAAAGATGGAGAAGATTTTTTGCGTTGATATTATTTGGCTCTGTTTAATTTCAGTTTTTGGATTTATTATTTGAAGAAGAAACGGAACAATGTGCCGATCTGTGTCTGCGTCTGTTACGTCACTGTAGTTCTTGTATTGGTAATACCCGATCACAAGCCAGCGCTTCACTTTATCTACTCATGAGACAAAACTTTGAACTGGGAAACGTAAGTTTTTGAATTTTGATAAAATAAACATCCAGAAATTTTTGTAATTTATAAACTTTTCAGTATGTCAGAATGATATTATAATCAGAACACTATTGTCATTCAGGGGGGTGGATGGCTGAATGGTTAGCATGTGTGTGCTGTATCATAAGGCCTGTCATTGAGTCAACTGGCAAGCATATTATTGAAATAAAATTGAACCATATGTTAGTCCCGAAATGACCTAGTTTGTGTCGAGTGGACGTTAAACCACATTTCTCTCACTGTCTCCTATTCTTATCATTTATTAGAATATTTTTCCTTTCTTGTAGAATTTTGCACGAGTCAAGATGCAGGTCACCATGTCTTTAAGTTCATTGGTTGGTCAGAATCATAATTTTAACGAAGAATATTTACGTAAATCGTTGAAAACTATTTTAACGTATGCCGAGGCTGATGTTGAATTACAAGAAACAACTTTCCCTGAACAGGTTTGTAAAAGATTTATTGCTACATCTGAGGTGGCTCCTTATTGATTACTGGTACTAATTTTTATACGCCCACATGGAAATGTGAAACGAAAAAACCTATTTAATTTCAACAATTTCCGTTTATTACTTCTAGAGTTATGGCCCTTGTTTCACTTTGTTGCACCTTGTGAAGGCTATAATATCATAAGTTATCTGCCGATCTGTATGAAATTTATATGCATTATTCAAATTAGTAAAATCAAGAATCCTATTGAATTTCAGCAATTTCTGTCGATTACTTCTAAATTTATGGCCCTTGTTTTACTTTGTTGAACTTTTGAACGTTCAAATGGCAAAAGTTATAATCCAATCTGTATGATTTTTATATGAATTATTTGAATTGGGTAAATGAAAAAGCCAGTCAAATTTCAACAATTTCTATAAATTACTTCCAGAGTTAAGGCCTTGTTTCAGTTTGTAAAACCTTGTGAACCCTCAAACAACGAAAATTATAATCTGATCTGTATGAAATTGTCTTGTAAATAAATGCCCCCAATTATCTACAAAATAATAAATGTGCGACACCCCTTGTCGACCGCTTGGACGATTTAGCTGCTGTGGACGTATGTTTCATTGCCAGGCAACCCATCTTTGTTACCGGCACTGTACGTGTGAGTCTATTATACAGTTTTTAGTTTTCAGAGTAAATGGGTCACAATCTAAAAAAATTTCCATAGTAACACACCTACAAATCAAATTTCAAATTTTTCCTTTTTATAAAATGAAAATCAATGACATGACGAAAAGAAAATTAATGGAAAACCATTTTATTAAGACATACATTACTCCACTTAATAGTCAATAAGTACCAATTGGCCATTAATTTCATTAATTTAATTTGCTTAATCTATCCCTTTATTATCTTCCATTCATTGTTCCTAAGTTGTACGTATATACAACAGATTAAAACACATGTATACATGTTTTCTGTTAGTTACCTATCTATATACTATGTATCCATAAACAATGGTAACTATAGCCAATTAAAACCACAGTGTTACTGTGTAAATATGTATAATAAGTATACTATGGTGTCCATCTATATGAGAAAAAGTACTTAAAATGTTATTAAACCAGTGTCGGGAAAACTTTTATCTTTTCATCGTTTACCTTTAAACAAAGTAGTGCAACTTTAGGTTTGTGCTAATATTTTTGGATATATAGACAAGTATTAGGTCAGATCGCATGGGTTGATACTTTTGTCAAAAAGTGAACGAGTTTTAACCTAAACAACCTGACTATAGCTAATCCACAGGCAAACTTTCTCTTCTATATATATTTATTATTGTTTTGATTTTGATATCGTGAAGTTAAGAAATTTATTATTTTGATTTTGAAACCGTGAAGTCAAGAAATTTATTATTTTTATTTTATAATCAGAAAGTTAAATATTTATTATTATTTTTGGGTGGCTAAATGATTAATGTGCAAGCGTTGAATCAAGTTCGTCATTGAGTCATCTGTCTGTCATCGAGTCAACTTGCGTGGTTTTGATTCTCAGTTTGTATGTGACAAGGAGTAGGGTCATCTGTCCATTCTCGTGGGTTTTCTCACAGTCCTCCGGTTACCTCCCACTTACAAAGACCAGTACTTGCAAACGAATTGTTGAAATAAAATTGAACCATATCTTAGTCCCGAAATGACCTGGTTTATTATTTTTATTTTAATATCGTAAAGTTATGCATTCATTATTATTTTTTTTTTGAAGCCAACAAATTGATTCTGCAAAAAGACATTAGGTTCCATATTGATGATTTATTATTATTTTTATTTTGAACCCACGAAGGTGAGAGATCTGGTGTTTAACCTGCACATGATTTTATCGGACACGGTGAAGATGAAGGAATTCCAGGAAGATCCGGAGATGTTATTGGATCTGATGTATCGTATCGCTAAAGGTTATCAGACGTCACCCGATCTCAGGTTGACATGGTTACAAAATATGGCCGGTAAACATAGTGAGGTAGGCTAGAAAACCACAAGGTCTTTATTTACTGAAATATGGCCGGTAAACATATGGCTGGCCAGTTAATTGATGCCTTGGGTTTTGTCTTGAAATAAAATGAATTTTAAGTTAGTCCCGAAGTTGTTGTAACCCTTTCTTGGAGGCACAGTGGTTCAAGGAGTAAGAATTTGGCTAGCTAAACTGGTGTTTGCCAAGAAAGTTCATCGGGCCAGGCAATGGACAACATATAGTCGTTTGGATGGGACAAAAAACTGAGGCCCCAAGTACACATTGGCATGCAACTAGAGGAACCCTGGAATTTGATATAAGAGTAGGCCAAGGCGCCACTGTCCGGGCAAAATTTCTCTTATAGCAAACTGTATGGAGTAAGAGCGTCTTCGTTAGCCCAATCGAAGCAGAAAAGTAGGACGTTAAACCCCATTTCATTTCTATGTGATATATTTTTCCGTAAATAAATAGAGGATATTTGTCGTTTTGTCGTGAATAACATATTTTATTTCATCGAGAAGCAAGAAAACTTATATTTTCACGAGTGCGTAGCATGAGTGAAAATATAAACGTTTTCTTGCTTAGAGATGAAATAAAATATGTTATTCACGACAAAACGACAAATGTTCTATTTATTTTATGATTTTACAATCATTTTAGGTAAAAACAACATGGACTATTTTATCCAGTGGAATAACACTTTTATTTCACTGATAAAACGCGGTATTCCACTACTGATCATAAAATAAATTAGTTTATGATTATAATGTAATAATCTAGGTTTAATTTGTTTTTCTGTATTTATAGAAAGGGAACAATGCCGAGGCGGCACAATGTTTAGTACATGCTGCAGGTCTCGTGGCTGAGTATTTGAATATGTTGGAAGATAGACCCTACCTTCCTATTGGTTGCGTCACTTTTCAGGTAAGATATTGGTTGGATTGATCGTTGTTGTCATGGCGATAGTTTAATCAATCAGTCAAGACTGGTGAATAGGACTATAACAAGAGCTCTTGAATTACAGAATCACATAATACAGAGTTGGGGCCTTATTTACTAATAATACAGAGCTTGTGCCTTATTTACTAATAATACAGAGCTGGGGTCTTATTCACTAATAATACAGAGCTTGGTCCTTATTAACAAATACTGAACCCATAATATAACGCCTTGTAGGTATTTTCCCCAAACTATTCTTAGAACATAGTTTGTCACTTGGTGGAATCCCTTGGGAATTCCCCCACGATCGCAGCATGTGTAGGACGTTATATTACGTCCTGGACAACTGCCACTCACTGTGTGTAGGGCGTAATATAACTCCTTGGAGGTATTTTCCCCAACCTATTCTTAGAACATAGTACATAGTTCTTCGTCATTTCGTCAAATTAATTACACACACAAAAGGGGTTGGTTAACGTTTTAAAAAAGTCACGCTTAACGGGTTAAACAATATTTTAAGAAAGAACTAAAATTTGTTCTAGAATTTTAACCTATGAAAATCCTGCATCCTTAAAGTAGTTTAGTTTAAGTTTACATAAATAAGGCCTCTGGTTTATTTCTACATTTTGTAAATGAGAAAAATCAATTTCTTAAAGATACATTATGGGAGATAAGATAAAGAGATGGCAGTTCTCGCTATAATAGTTAAAAACTAGATACTGTAAAGGTAATTTGCTGAAAATTTCAGTCAAATTGATCCACTATGAGCCGAGAAAGAAGCGGGTGAAATTTTTGCATAGTCTCGGTCATCATTACTAAAATCATTAATATAAACAGCATAGTATCGATTATCCACTTTTTTTGATTTAATTATCAATGGCCGTTAGCGGCAAATAGGAATCTAATCCAGCCAACATCGAAGGCTAGCCTTGACATCGAGAGTTTATTATGGTCTGGATAAGTTAATTAATGTCTAATTGATAATTTAGATAACATTTCAGGCCTAAAGAAAGACTTGTAATAAGCAGATTTTGCTCTTGCATAATGCATGTTTAATCTTATTAAAATAAAAGAATTAACTATGGATGATATCTGTTTTATAGAAAATAACCCCAAATGTATTAGAAGAGAGTGCTGTGTCAGATGATGTTGTATCGCCTGATGAAGAGGGGATTTGTACAGGGAAATATTTCACAGAAAATGGCCTTGTTGGTTTATTAGAACAAGCTGCAAGTTCCTTTACCATGGTAAGTTGATGTAAAACTATATTAACATGGACATTAGTATATTATCATCATCAACATACATTTCTAGATCTTTTACCATGCTGTGGGTAATCCATTAGAAACATCAATGCTGATTGGTTAATCAAATGTCTGACGTCATAGGGTCAAAAGCTGCTCGTATTACCTCTGACACGACCTATCGCTACAACCGGTCAGATCTTCATGTAGTGTAGGCCATCGAAAGTATAAAAAAACGAAACGGACATATAGATCTGGGCCCTGTTTCTCGAAATCTTAACTAAAGATAAAATCCAAATCTTAATAGATATTTCAATTTTGATTGGTAAGCACTGAAATTAATCTAATATTATCCAATCAAATTACTAAAATTTGGATTTTATCTTAGTTAAAATTTCGTGAAACAGGCCCCTGTATTTTAAAAAGATTGTTTCAATCTTTAGTTGATCATGTTCTATTACAAAGCTTTCATACTACTCAATATTCAGTGTTTTGTTAGTTAAAATAATTAATGAAGATCCATTCAATGTTATTTATATAAGGCTGAGTAATTTTAGCCAAGTTCCATTTAATTGTCCTTTGATGAATAAAGATGGTTATGTTATATTACAGGGTGGAATGTTTGAACTGGTCAATGAAGTATATAAGATATTAATACCAATACATGAAGCTAACAGAGATTATAAAAAGTTGGCACATATTCACCAGAAATTACAGGAAGCTTTCAGTAACATCACAAGACAGGTTCGTTACTAACTTATCTTTTATTTTCGACAGAGACAGACATACAATTAAGTCTATAGCATGCATATTATCAATTGAAACATGTATTAGCAGTGGTCCACTCCAATATAAACTAGATCATTTCGGGACTAAAATATGATATATCTTTACTTCAATAATTGACTTGCTCACAAGGGGCTTTATTGATAATCTTCAAGGGGTTGCTCTCCATTTCATGCAAGTGTCATCTATGCAAGACATGAGTTCAGTCCCATGAAATGTGGTTTAATGTTATACTTTCTGCACCAATCGGGATAATGAGAATGGGCAGTCCTATAAATATATTTGACAGAAAGTAGGTTGCCGGTCCCTTATGTCTAGGCTTGGTATAAACACTATTCTGTAATATGAACTGAGGCTGGATGGCCGAATGGTGTAACGTGCTTGCTTTAGATCATCAGGTCTGTCATTGAGTCAAGTGGTGTAGTGTTGATTCCTAGCTTGTACGTGACAAGGAGTAGGGTTGCCTATTCAATTGTGTGTGTGTTCTCCGGGTTTCACCCACTGCTACAGCCCCATACACGTTAGCAACTTATTGAAATTTATATATGGTGCGTTAGTTCTCAGTTTGATCTGAGTGGACATTAATCCCCATCTCTATCTGTTTTATGTGATTGGTAGCACTCTGTGGCCGTTTGATTTGAGTGGATGTTAAACCCCATTTCTCTCTTTCTGTTTTATATGATAGGTAACTCTCTGTGACAGTTTCATCTGGTCCATGATATTTTGGGAGAGGCAACAAATCATAAAAATTACATTTACATATTGTTTAAACAATAATTATGATTCAGGCACTTTGAGTACGCTTGGTGGATTCTAACGTGTTACAATGGACGTTTATTATTATTATTACAGAAAGGAAAGCGTATGTTTGGTACGTATTTCCGTGTAGGTTTTTATGGATCTAAGTTTGGTGATTTAGATGGTGAAGAATATATATATAAAGAACCTGCTATAACCAAACTAGCAGAAATATCACACAGATTACAGGTAAAACATATAGTATTTCACACAGATTACAGGTAAAACATATAGTATATCACACAGATTACAGGTAAAACATATAGTATATGACACAGATTACAGGTAAAACATATAGTATTTCACACAGATTACAGGTAAAACATATAGTATATCACACAGATTACAGGTAAAACATATAGTATATGACACAGATTACAGGTAAAACATTGTATATAGTATATCACACAGATTACAGGTAAAACATTGTTTATAGAATATCACACAGATTACAGTAAAACATTGTTTATAGTATATCACAGAGATTACAGGTAAAACATATAGTATATCACACAGATTACAGGTAAAACGTTGTTTATAGAATATCACACAGATTACAGGTAAAACATATAGTATATCACACAGATTACAGGTAAAACATTGTGTATAGAACTCACTACAAATGTTCACGCTCAAATAACAAGTACCCAAGTGATTACAAGGTAGACACGGAGTACACAGAGTATTTGTGTAAGGCAGAGTAGATTCTATTGGTCTATAAATAGACATTGGACATGAAATTGTTTAACTTGAATACGAACAGTAATAGCCATGTATGCAATCCTACAAGTGTCAGTACAAAACAACAATATTCCACGTTAACATGGGCTAAATATTCCACGCTGAAAGCAAATAAAGACTTTCGCCCCATATAATAATAATAATAATAATAATAATGTACATTTATATAGCGCTTAATCCATCCATGAGCATGCTCTAAGCGCTGTAAGTTAATGGCTTCTGTGGATAATACATCGTGAACATATGCGTCTTAAGTCTAGATCGAAATTGAGCAACTGTTTCTGAACACTTTATTTTGTCAGGTAAGTCATTCCATAGTCGTGGACCATATACACTGAAGGCTTTATCACCAAAAGATTTTAATTTAGTTGAAGGTACAACAAGTGATAGATTATTCTGTGAACGGAGTGGTCGGTTTGGTACATAAGGCTGCATAAGATCTGTGATATAGGATGGAGCTGAATCATGCTGAGACTTGTAGACCAGTGTTAAGATTTTAAAGTTTATACGAGCCTCTATTGGTAACCAGTGAAGCGATTTAAGGACAGATGTTATATGTTGACGTTTTGCTGTTCTTGGGATGATTCTGGCACAGTTGTTCTGAATTATTTGAAGTCGCTTTAATAAATGTTGAGATATTCCAGCCAAGGCACTATTACAATAGTCCAATCTTGAAAAAAAATTAGAGACCGCACCAAAAGATGACAAGCAGCAGTAGTCAATAGATGACGAATGTTTCCTATACTACGGAGATGAAAATTACAAACACGGCATAACTGATCAACCTGTTTTTCCATTGTTAAAGACGGATCAAATATAACAAAATATAGACAATAAAAAAACAAAACATTTTTCTTCCAAAATTATTTATGTCCAAATTTTAAATATGATTAATGAAAATGGTTATTGGCTGTCATGGCTGTAACTAAGGGATCTATTTGAGTTGTTATATATTATCAGGGTTTCTATGGTGATAGATTTGGTGAAGACGTAATACAAGTATTAAAAGATTCTAATGTAGTGGAGAAAGAAAAACTCGATCCAGAAAAGGTAACAAAACAAAACAGTTTAAAGTCTCAATTTTTAAATAAAGGATAAAAATCGAATGTGACTTAACATTTGGAGGGGAGGGTCTATAGTAACATATGCAATGCTAGGAGGAGAATTTTGCCCTAATGCAGGACAGAGGGCCTGACAAGGACAGCTGTCTAGTCCTTCGGATGATACGAAAAACCGAGGTCCCGTGTACACATTGGCGTGTATGTAAAAGATCCCTTGACAGTTGGAATTCGATATAAGAGTAGGTCTTAGTGCCGCTGTCCGGGCAAAAATGTCCCTCATGGCACACTGTATGGGGTATGCCCGTCTTCATTAGCCCAGTTCGGAGCAGAACAGTAGGACGTTAAACCCCATTTCATTTCATTTGTTTTGCCCTGACAGCAGCATTAACACTTACTCTTCATCAAATTCCAGCTACCTGGCAACCTATGTTGTTTGTGAAATGAAATGAAATGGGGTTTAATGTCCTACTGTTCTGCACCGAACTGGGCTAATGAAGATAGGCATACTCCATATAGTGTGCTATGAGGGAAATTTTGCCCGGACAGCAGCACTACGGTCAGACCCTCCGTCCTGCATCACTGACAAGTGGGAACCACACCAGAAAATCTGGATGAACTTTCTCGGCCAATGCAGGGATAGAACACCCGACCTCCAGGCTAGCGAGCCAGCGTCATACCCACTTAGCCACCGTTTGTATTGTCATGAAATATTTTTATTATTTTGCCAGTATCATATTATCATTATAATCATTTTTGGGGTTTTATTGCCTGGCAACATGTTTATTATATCCTATTACATTGGCGGCGTACAAATAAAAGAACCCTTGACTCGGGGGGGGGGGGGGAGTTCAAAATAAGAGTAAGGCATTGGCATAATATGCTTCATAACACACTGTAGAAAACTAGGACATTAAACCACCCATTTCATTTGTCTAGAAACCTATATTTGTAATTTCCTATTGTGGTTATATTTTATATTTTTGTATTTCCTATTATGGTTATAATTTTTATATGTTTGTATTTCCTATTATGATTATATTTTATATTTTGCAGGCATATATACAGATAACGTATGTTGAACCGTATTTTGATTCATATGAATACCGAGATAGAATTACATATTTTGAGAAGAATTACAAACTGAGTAAGTAAATAAAATAATACAAGCACATGGAGTGGTGGGGCGGGGGATGGCTGAATGGTTAGTGCAAGCCCATTGTATCATAAGGTCTGTCATTGAGTTAACTGGCATGGGTTCGATTCCCCGGTTATAGGGTCGCCTGTCAAACCTCGTGGGTTTTCTCCAGGTCCTCGGGTTTCCTCCCATTGCTTAAAATAAACCCTACACGCTAGCGAATTATTGAAATAAAATGGTACCATATGTTAGTCTCGAAATGACCTAGTTTGTATTGAGTGGTCGTTAACCCTGTGGTTTATCCATTTATCTCCATTCAAATTGTAATATTTTTTATGTTTTTTATATTATAGAGAGATTTATGTACGCTACACCGTTTACGTTAGATGGACGAGCTCATGGTGAATTACACGAACAATATAAACGTAAAACAATATTAACAACAATCCATTTCTTCCCGTATGTTAAAACCAGATTATCAGTAATAGAACGACAACAGGTAAAATATATTTATATAGAATCGTGGGGGGTGGGGGTAAACCAGATTATCTGTTATAGAGACCACAGGTAGAATATATTTTAATTAAAAGGGTTGATTGCTTTATTAATTAATCAATATTAGTTATACTCTCAGTATAGTCAATATTAGTTATACTCCCACTACAGTCAATATTAGTTATACTCTCAGTACAGTTCATATTAGTTATACTCTCAGTTCAGTCAATATTAGTTATACTCTCAGTACAGTTAATATTAGTTATACTCTCACTACAGTCAATATTAGTTATACTCTCAGTACAGTCAGTATTAGTTATACTCTCACTACAGTCAGTATTAGTTATACTCTCACTACAGTCAATATTAGTTATACTCTCACTACAGTTAATATTAGTTATACTCTCACTACAGTTAATATTAGTTATACTCTCAGTACAGTTAATAATAGTTATACTCTCAGTATAGTTAATATTAGTTATACTCTCAGTACAGTTAATATTAGTTATACTCTCAGTACAGTTAATATTAGTTATACTCTCAGTACAGTTAATATTAGTTATACTCTCAGTATAGTTAATATTAGTTATACTCTCAGTACAGTTACAAATAGTTATACTCTCAGTATAGTTAATATTAGTTATACTCTCAGTACAATCAATATTAGTTATACTCTCAGTACAGTTAATATTAGTTTTACTCTCACTACAGTTAATATTAGTTATACTCTCAGTATAGTTAATATTAGTTATACTCTCAGTATAGTTAATATTAGTTATACTCTCACTACAGTTAATATTAGTTATACTGTCAGTATAGTTAGTATTTTGGGAAATTTTGAATAGGATTCACCATCTCTTGATATCCAGTTGAACATATTCCTGATCGGGCGTTCTCTGACTCATTTAGGACATATCCAGCATATACTGCTACAAACCTATCTTCATATGTTGGTATGTATGTTTCGTTGCCTAACAACCTTTGTTTATTTATAATTATAGATAATATTATCACCAATAGAAGTCGCTATCGAGGATGTACAGAAAAAGACGAAAGAATTAAGTACAGCTCTACATCAAGAACCACCGGATACTAAAATATTACAGATGGTTTTACAGGGCTGTATTGGTACCACGGTTAATCAGGTAATTAATTAATTAACAGGTATGATGCTGGAGGTAGTGTATGCCTACAAAATTATTACAGGTATAATGCAGGTAGTATATACTTACTAAGTGATGAAGATGCTGAGGGAAGAGGGTGGGGCATACAGAACATTGATTGTTAGTACGGAACGTAGCTGAATTGATAATTGTAATATTATATAATTACAGGGACCATTAGAGGTTGCTATGGTATTTTTAAGCGGTGTTGCGGAAGGTAAACAGGTGCCAAGTAAACATCATAATAAATTACGTCTCTGTTTTAAAGATTTCATGAAAAAGTAAGTCTTTATGTTTATATTTTTATTTTAGAAATATAGTTTCACAATTTACTATAAATAATCAGGGGCGGATCCAGGATTTTCAGAAAGGGGGGGGGGTGCTGCCCCCACTTGGGAGTGCGAAGCCCAGCCCTTGGTGGGCGAACTGACGGGCAATCAACCAAGTCACCAACCAGCTCATTTCGAAGTAAATTACGACCGGGATCACTACCATTTTTAAGTATTTCTGTTCTCCTTTCCTGCAAGAATTTATGGGGCAAAAAATTGTTCGCCACCGCAAAAAATAGGGGGATCTTGCGCTGGGTGCGAGACCCCTCCCCCCCTTGGATCTGCACCTGATAATTATTTAAAGGCTTGATTCATCATTTAGCACAATAAGAATCCCTTGTAAACTATATTATTATCTCTATCTCTATACAGTAATATACAATAATATACAGTAGAATACAGTAGAATACAATAATATACAGTAGAATACAGTGATATACAATAGAATACAGTGATATACAATAATATACAGTAGAATACAGTAATATATAGTAGAATACAATAATATACAGTAGAATACAGTAATATACAATAGTATACAAAAGGATATTTAAATTATTTGTCTGGTTGAATTACAGGACCAGTGACGCTCTACATAAAAACAAACAACTAATCACATCGGAACAGAAGGAATATCAGAGAGAATTGGAGAGAAATTACCGAACTTTCCATGATAGAATCCAACCCATGATATCACCTACAGCTCATCTTAAAAAATCTAAACATCATAAAAGGTAAGATTTGTTTTGTTATGTATTAATCTTACTTAATACATGTATACCTGATTACGTTATAGTATAGAAATAAGTACACTGAGTACATTATGGTTATAGTGACTTTTGTCCTTTCTAACATAAAACAATCTAATTAAAATATAGATCTATATTTCGTTTCGGTTTTTATACTTTCGATGGCCTACACTACATGTAGATCTAACAAGTTATAGTGGGAGTTCACGTTCTATGACGTCAGGTACCAAGCAAGCGACATTTGACCAGATTACGTCAGTCATTCGATTAACCAATTAGCGACCGCCATGTATTTTTTATCTACTTTTGCTTTGTTTTGATTTCTATTGCTGCTAATGTCTATCCACAGTTCCACGCAAAAAAAAGGTCAAACGCTCGATTCGACAGACCATTTGATTGGCTAACCCCTCATTTCAAGCAGAACACGAGTACAAATATATAAAGTATATTTATTTAAAACATGTGTTAGCTGTTTGAATATATTACAGGTTTATTTATGTTTAACACATCAAGTGTATTCTAATAGTAAGTGTAGGAGGACCGCACTACACACAAAGATGGGGGGGTTGGATGGCTGAATGGTAAAGCGTGCACTCTAAGTAGGGTTGCCTGTCCAACCTTGTGGGTTTAATCCGGGTCCTCCAGTTTCCTCCCACTGCTAGGGGGGATGGATGGCTGAATGGTTAGCACGTGCGTGCTGTATCATACAGTCTGTCATTGAGTCAACTGGCGTGGTTTCGATTCTCCGGTTGTACGTGACAAGGAGTAGGGTCGCCTGTCCAACCTTGTGGGGTTTCTCCGGGTCCTCCGGTTTCCTCCCACTGCTAAAGACCCCTACACGCAAGCGAATTATGGAAATAAGCTCAAACCATGTGCTAGTCCCAAAGTGACCTAGTTTGTGTTGGGTGGACGTTAAACCCCATTGTTCTCACTTGATTATGTAAGAATCTTACCAAATGGCTGAACACCCAGTTTATATGTTTAAAGTTTGTTTTTTTTATTTCAATTTTCAGTAAAGAAGCTCGAGCTAAACGTCAAACTTCACCACCTGCTGCTGCTGCCTCCGCACAACAATAATTTATAAATAACAGCTAGACCACCTGGATTTGTTTCATATCATGTATGGGAGTTTCCTTCCACTTGTAAATATCTATCCCTGTGCTCAAATTGTACCATATTAGTCCCGTCGATATAAACTTCATATATTCACTTATTTGTGGGATGACGATCTGTTACAGGTGGGATGACGATCTGTGTTACAGGTGGGATGACGATCTGTGTTACGGGTGGGATGACGATCTGTGTTACAGGTGGGGTGACAATCTGTGTTGCAGGTGGGATGACGATCTGTGTTACAGGTGGGATGACGATCTGTGTAACAGGTGGGATGACGATCTGTGTAACAGGTGGGATGATGATCTGTGTTACAGGTGGGATGACGATCTGTGTAACAGGTGGGATGACGATCTGTGTAACAGGTGGGATGACGATCTGTGTTACAAGTGGGATGACCAATGACGATCTGTGTTATTTGAAAACCTCCCATCTATAAATCAGTGTTAAAATATAACAGATTTAGTGTTCCACCGTCGAAACAGAATACCAAATATATGTTCAACCCAATCAATAATTGAAAAATATGATCATCCCAATTCAATACTTTAATTAGCTGCATAATAAATGTGAATAACATGTTTAAGATATAACAGATCCCATGTTTAAATCTACAGAGTGCTTGCTACATCACTTCAATCAGAGGTTATCTGTATGAAGATAATTATATTCACGAATCTCTGGGCCATATATCCATGTCATACATAATTTTACTTCAATTTCTACAGAATATCATCCTTATCTAGTCCAACAGATTTCATCATTATAGTATTTATTACATGTTTTATTATCATAAAGTTACTTCCGTCATGTTGTATGGTTAGCTAGTCATATTTCATCATTCATTAAATTGGTTTTATTCAAATATTATATTATTTACAGGAAATGTCCATTTTTAAATCCCTCTACAGACAGTTTATATACCTACTAGATGTCACTGCCAATGTTCCTTCTAAATTTGGTAGTCAGTGTGCGTAAAAATCTTATGATATTTAAATTTTAATCGTATAGCAAGATATTTTTACAAGTGTAATTGAAATTGCTAATCACTGCCAATGTTCCTTCTGAGTTTAGTAGTCAGAGTGCGTAAAAATCTTATGATATTCAAATTTTAATCGGGTGACAAGATATTTGTAATTGGAATTGTTTCAAGATAATTCTGACACGACCTGTAATTCATGCCTAATACAACTGGATTGAAAAATATAAACAGATCATGCTGTGAACAGGTGGTGTCTGAAAACCAGAATCTGTGCTCTCGTTGTAAAATGTTTGCGTGCACAAGCCCACGCACAATTTAGAGGGAACAATGCTGACTGTCTATGAAATACATAAACCTACTCATACAGGATAATAATATGTCCATTTATATTGTGCCAAATCCACTAAAGTACAGTCGCAAATTCTCAACACTTGCATCGAAACAATTGACCTGCGAAGTGATCTCAACACTCTTACCAATCCTCGCAAGATAGAGTAAGACTCGTCATGATTCAACATTTAATTTAACCGTAGTGTTGTTCCATCCACCCATCCAGTTTAGCAGGTTGTTTGTTTGGAAGTAGGGGGGGTTGGATGGCCGAATGGTTAGCATGTGGGTGCTGTATCATAAGGTCTGTCATTGAGTCAGCTGGCGTGGTTTCGAATCCCCAGTTGGGTTTTCTCCGGGTCCTCCGTTTTCCTCCCACTGCTAAAGACCCCTGCGCGCAAGCGAATTAGAGAAATAAAAAAAAGAACCATATGTTAGTCCCGAAATGATCTAGTTTGTATCTAGTGGAAGTTAACCCCATTTCTCTCTCTCTGTGTTTGGAAGTAAGTGTTGAAATTTTGCAATTGTCACTAAAGTGCTCACGGCACGTACCGTGCGTAAACTGCCTCATCATTTTAATTATGTTATTTTGTGTTATATACAAGATTATCTCATGTCCTTAATGTTAGTATCCAGTTATGTCTGGTTTAAATGTCGTCATCGCAAGCGAGGCATTAAGTAATATATTGACATTAATCGAGTATTGTTTCAATGTATTACACAAATGTCTTGCTTGCGACTAGTCAAGTATTTCTCTGTATTCATCATATGATCACTGTCTTTTTATTATTAAAATACAGGTTTGACGTCATCCTTTGATGTTGATCTAACATTATTTTATATTAGATGAAATATTGGACTCGTGTGACGATTTCATTGAAATGCATGTGTGGAATAGTGTCTGTATTTTAAGTTTTTTAATGGTCTCAATCAAGACATTGCGTAATATATTGAAACAACAGCTCGGCTAACGTCCTCATGCAGTATTCATATATTACTTAATGTCTCGCTTTCGACCATTAAACCATAGGTACTGTAAGATTGGGCCATGTGTCTGAAATAATGGTACGTCAATAGTAGCGTGTAACATCTGTGTTTTAAATGCCAAATAATATACAGTAAATGTTAATCTAGTTCCATACATATATGTATGTCAGTTTAAAACTCAGTAAAGGTTTATCAATACCAAATAATATACAGTAAATATTAAACTAGTTTCATAAACAGGTTATGAATCTATATATCTATGTCAGTTTAAAGTAGCTAAGTCTCTATAACTGAATATCATCCAAAGTCTTACACATTGAAAACACGAATTATTTGTCAATTCAAATCAACATTGATGTTGTTATCTGACCGGGAAAAGGCAGGCTTCTGATATCCAATATTTAAGACAAAATAAACATTTTACCATTGGTACACGAATCGTGTATCATAGTGCATTTTAGCGTCACTTGTAACAAGTGACCAGAAAGAACGAGGCTAGACATATTCAAAAACTCATGTCAAACGGTGATACCATTCTTATCTGGTATAACCAGACACTAGAAATTGGCATTTGGTTAAGACTCTTGCCGTATTTCGCAGGACATAACTGATTTAATATTTAGTCAAAAACAGAAACAATTGAATGTAAATCAGTTTATATACAATCAGATTACATTATTTTATGTGTTGCAACCCATTTCGGTCAATTTCTAGGTGCCAAATGTTAGCGATTTAGCTCCTTTAAGACTCAGTAAGGCTTTATCAATGTTAAATTGTTTTCTGCCAGCAGAAGCTCAAATGTCAGTTTATTGCGTACTGATCAGAGTACTGATCGGACCGGATGGAATGAAATTATAATTCTAGTGTCACCGAATCTGGTCACAGTTCTGTCAAACATTCAGTGTGATGTGAGCAGAATCTTGATGTTATCAATTGTTTCTAGTTTCATTCAGTTGATGTGTGTGCCTTATTGCAACAAAATTCTCATTTTTTCTGGATTGACACCTTTCCAGGGTTTGAGAGAACTGATACCGGCTGGAGTTTTTTGTCAGTGTAAATAATATTTGGTTTTTTTTATGTTTTTTAAGGATGAAATCCTGTTTTGTTTTTTTTTTTAATTTATTGTGCAATATATGTATATACCATTCTACCTGTTTTCATATAACCCAGAATTTTTATATTATTTACATCTTCTTTTTTTAAACTGATTGCTTTCTCCATCGGATGCCATATTTCATGTTGTATGTTACCAGATCTACCTGCTCATGGTAGTAAAATCCATTAATATATCAAAAAATGTTTTTCTTATTTTATTAACCTTGATCTCTTGTTTGAAGGGGGTCCAATCCTCGTATTAGCCGAGATAGTTCCCCAGATCCCCCCGTGTGAAGGTCCAGGACAGACAGCGTGGCAAGGTACAACCATTAGTCGTTTGGATGGGACAAAAACTGAGGTTCCATGATCCCATGACATCCACCTGCAAGAGAGAGGGAGAGAGTGAGAAATGGGAATTAACGTCCACTCGACGCAAACTAGGTAATTTCGGGACTAACACATGGTTCAATTTTATTTCAATAATTCGCTTGGGCGTAGGGGTCTTTAGCAGTGGGAGGAAACCGGAGGACCCAGAGAAAACCCACGAGGACGGACAGGCGACCCTACTCCTTGTCACATACAACCAGGGAATCGAAACCACGCCAGTTGACTGAATGACAGACCATATGATACAGCGCGCACATGTTAACCATTCGGCCATCCCCCCCCACCCTCCTGAAAGAACACTTGACATTTGGAATTCATTATACGAGTAGGTCGTGTAACGCCGCTGTCGGGGCAAAATTTCTACTCATAGCTCACGGTATTGCATATGCCAGTTGGTTAAAAAAAAGTATGACATTAAAAAACCCATTCGTACAGTATGCATGGGTTTGAAACAATAGCTCCTATTAATGGCGGTTTAATCCAATTTAAACAAAAAAAAAACAAAAAAAAAACGGAACACCAGCATCTTACTGTTGTCTGCTAACATCCATCCAAGAAGTGATTGAGGTAACCAAGTTAACAATCAATATACACTGCTCCTTACAGCACAGGGTGTAATTTACACTTATAAAAACCCATACTCTCATTACATAAAATCAGGAATTACCCCTTCCTGTTCTTTGATCGCTTACTGTCAAGGGATCTTTTACGTGCATGACAATGTATATGGATGAAAATCGGATTTTTCGTAGCACTAAAAAAACCTACAGGTTCCACTCCTCGTCAGACCTTACAGGCCTCGCCCCTTGTCAGACCCTACAGGTTCCACCCCTTGCCAGACTCTACAGACTCCAGCCCTTGTCAGACTCGATCCCTTGTCCTACCCTACAGACTCCACCCCTTGTCAGACCATACAGGCTCCACCCCTTGTCAGACCATACAGTCCTCACCCCTTGTCAGACCATACAGTCCTCACCCCTCGTCAGACCCTACAGGCTTCGCCCCTGACAAGAGTGACCTGGGCTTGAAAAATAAACACACAATTGGTATAATAAAGGTATGCTGATTTTATTATGAAAATATACGATCGATTGTCGTTAGAACATGGTAAACATGACAGATTATATAAACACCAAACCATATGATAATATCTTTAATAAACTACGGTCTGTACCACATACATTACAAATAACTAGGTCACTTCGGGACTAACATATGGTTCAATTTTATTTCAATAATTTACTTGCACGTAGACTTCTTTAGCAGTGGGATGAAACCAGTTAGACTCGCGCTCTAACACCCCATATGGATGAGCGATAAACAAAGGAAATGAAATCGGGTTTAACATTCTACTTTTCAACATCAAGCGAGCTAATGAAGTCTGGCATGTGTACCCAGACTTAACTCCGTTTACATTGCAAATTTTAATTTTTTGTTAATTTTTTGGTAGTGTAAACGGGTCAAAAATAAGCGTGTCGTACCGAGTACCGTGCTACTCTGGCCCACTGAAGTGAGGTGGTCTCCGCACGGTTAAATTTTCATAGTGTAAATGCTCTCTAGGATGCAGTTTTAACAAAAAATTTATTTATAATCCATGTGGTGTAGACAGTAGTCATCTATTTTACAAACAAATCTATTTTTATGCATAATATATATGGACGGAGAAACTAATGCTGAATTCTACAATCATTTCAATTTATTGTGGGCAAGATTAGACAAGAATATCATTCATTAAATTCATATTTCATTTATTATTAGATTCAATCTGACTAAAGTACACCATATTTCAGTTATTATTGGATTCAATGTGACTGAAGTACACCATATTTCAGTTATTATTGGCTTCAATCTGACTGAAGTACACCATATTTCAGTTATTATTGGATTCAATCTGACTGAAGTACACCATATTTCAGTTATTATTGGCTTCAATCTGACTGAAGTACACCATATTTCAGTTATTATTGGATTCAATCTGACTGAAGTACACCATATTTCAGTTATTAGATTCGATCTGACAAACTTAACCTGAAGTAGCCATAGTTATATCAAAAATGCACACTTGTATTCATGAAAACTAAAATCTCTTAAGAAAGCAGCCTTTCCATTGGCTAAGAACTAATATCTGTTATATGATTTTAACTCTAATCCAATGAAAACAGTGTATTCTTAAAATATTATAGTTTTGTTATGATGAAGTATCCTGGGTCTTATTAAACAAGAGAGTTTATATTGTGATGAAGTCTGAACACTTCCCTTCATTATATCAAACAAAGGATGATATTAACAGGAAGTCTTGCTTATCCAGTTGAATAGTCCAGGTAAACTCATCTAGTCTCGTAAATATACCTCTAGAAAATCTAAAGAGCAGACGTCTGATCTGTGACCCAACATCTTGCTGTGGGTTAGTCGACGACAGACATAAAGTAGCATTGTTTCATCAGTGAGGGCTGGATTATCAAGACTACACAAGTAATATTAGAAGTGCTCTGAGTTTATTTCAGTAATCCGATTTGGGAGAAGAAAATCAAAAATATATAATTCATTAAAGTCATAACATTCCAAAACAAACAAATTGCATAGTAGAAGATAGTCTCAATATTTCAACACATGCGTGCTAATAATTAATCCCTTATAGATCTGGACCAGTGATTCTCAACCTGTGTGCCGCGAGATCTTTCTAAGATTTCTCAATAAAGAAGCCAGCTGTTTGACTGATGAAATTCAAAACACTGCAATAAAGTAAGTTCAAATCTGTGATTTTCTTTATTTAGTTTAACTCATTCTATGTGTCTGACTACTCTGTGTCTACGGTTGTATGCCGTCTATGAATTGCCATGTTTTGGGTTTTTTTTTGCAAAATTCAATTATTTTTCATATATATTTAGCCAGGTGTGCCGCTATTTTTTCATGTGTTCCAAGGTGTGCCGTTGGCTAAAAATGGTCGAGAACCACAGATCTGGACTTTTGCTAATATGGTTATAAAGATTCTTCTAGCGTAGCCACACCAAAATTGGTTATTAAACTTAATATACGATAAAACTGGTTAACGGTAATAATTTGGTCACTGGGTAATTTATCACATATATAAATTTGATTTATTTGGATTACAATTTGTTCAGATAATTTGGGGGTGGGAGGGGTTGGTCGCGCAGTATGCATCATAATAAGGTCTAACCAACATTTCCCCCTACAGTCGGTTCTGCACTATGCATCATAATTAGATCTAACCCGCTATAGTTGAAACAAGTAACTTTTATCAAATCACAAATTAACAAGTTTTAATAATAGCAGAAAAGCTATAAAAATTAAATATTACTTTGGTACATGAAATTTGAACGAAAATCAAAATATCTAATATGAATTAGAATATTAAGTTTATGTTAAAATCTTTCAACATAATGACAAATTCATTGATAATCTTTTTATACAAATTCATTCATAAATTTGTTGCAAATTAATTTGTAAATTTGGTTACAAATTCATGCACATTTATTTTACAATTTAATTCATAATTTTGTAGTAATTTCAGATCATCTTTTTGCACCAATGATATGATTTAATTATAAGGCACTTTTAAAAAGCTTACTTTTCTTAAACATATAATAAACTTTATCAAACACCCATAAAATACAAGTTTCTTCTTTCTACAATTTTAACAGACATCAACAAACAATTACATATAAATTTACAAATAAATGACTGTTTTCCCATTATAATGTAAATGAATAATTTGTCCATACGATATTTCTAATATTTAGTAATTAAGCACAGTTTAATGGTTTATATATACAGATATTAAATGTAAGATTCAGATAAAGAGCTGATCACTCTTGCTATAATAGCTCAAAAATAGATAATGTAAAATGAAAATATTGAAAATTTCCTTCAAATTACTTCATTCTAAGCCAGGTTATCATTGTTTGTAGTTTTGACAAGATGTGTGCACAGTGGTAACCAGGGAGCTGGTATATTCGAGAATTTGCCTTGCTTTCTCATTTCTAAATTAAATTTTTAAATGGCGAACCGTTCTAATCTAGTTAAAATCTCGAGCATCCGATGCCACCAAGAGTTACTTATGGACTTGTTTATGTTAATTAATGTCTATTAACAATTTATACAACATTTAAGGCCCAAAGAAAGGCCTGCAATAGGCCTGCATGTTTAATAATTGAACTGAAAATACACATGACCCAATTCTATCAAGTTTATTACACAGCGAAGTTTTGACTAAGCGTCCCTATCAAGCAATAATGTTTATTACTGAGCGATGTTTTTACCAGGTTTCTATAGTCTTTATCAAGCAAGTTGAAATGTTACTCAGAAATAAACTGATAAACTAAATCAATAGCATTAAAGAGATGCATTAAACAAGATTTAAATCTGCCCAATGCAGACCTTTCGTTCTGTCTCAATTTGAGACTCTCAAATGTGGGGGGGTTGGATGGCTGAATGGTTAGCGTGCGCGCGCTGTATCATAAAGTCTGTCATTGAGTCGACTGGCGTGGTTTCGAATCCCCGGTTGTACGTGACAAGGCGTAGGGTCGCCTGTCCAACCTCGTGGGTTTTCTCCGGGTCCTCCGGTTTCCTCCCACTGCTAAAGACCCCTATGCGCAAGCGAATTATTGAAATAAAATTAAACGATATGTTAGTCCCGAAATGACCTAGTTTGTGTCGAGTGGACTTTAAACCCCATTTCTCTCTCTCTCTCACTCTCAAATGTCATATAAATCATTAATTAGACATTTATTTACACGACAAGCCCATAATCAAACCTCCTAGAACTTCAGATGGTTTTAATTTTCAACAGATTTAAATATGATTGGCATTTAATGATTTAATTAAATAATGGATAATCAAGACTTTGTTTATTATCGTAACAACGGTAGCAATGACAATCCAGACAACACTGTTCTGCAAATGATGGTAAATCCGCTCAGAGTGAAGTAATTGGACTGAAATTTTTACCATATTCCCTTTTCATTATCTTTTGTTTTAACTATTATAGTAATAACTGTCAACTCTTTATCTAAATCTTATGTAATGCATCTTTAAGTAACTGAACTGGAAAAAAACACGAGATCCAGGGTATATTCTCTTAAACCACCGGATCTGGGCACATTCTCGTAAAACATGGGATCCAGGGTATATTCTCTTAAAACATGGGATCCTGGGCACATTCTCTTAAACCAAACACTTACTATCGCCAAACTCAAAATGTATAAAATATTGCCTTAATGATTTTTTGTGTAATTTGATTTATAAACATGAATATTGAAAGGATACTTTATCTTTTATTTTGGTGAAAAACACAAATTGAATTTTATCAACTAATCAATGTCTGCTTACAGCACCGGAAAATAATGTAATCATACAAACTGATAGACTATTACCAAAATAACATATTGGTAAACAAATTACAAAGGGCCAATCAAATTACACCCTTTATTTAGACCCTAATCAACGGGGGCCACAGATATTTACAACAATTTAAAGCATGAACCTGACACGATGAATACAAATATCTAGTTTTAAATTAAATGATTTTATCAATATCACAATAAATCAATCGATGACAGAATGAAAGAAAGTTATTCCACCTCAGCCTTTAGCATTTGAGTTTTATTCTTTATTTAACTCATCAGTAGCTACTGGTTTTATCTGATGCAGTGTATACTTAAATATACTGGACCACCTGATACCACTTTCCATGATAACCATGAACCATAATGAAACAATAGTATATTATGTAGTTACTGGTGTTGATACAGGTGTAAATACAGGTGTTGATAAATAAACAACAATAAATATAGAATGTATGTAATATTACTGATATGACTTGCAGAATGTTTTTGATTTGAGACAAGGTTGGTATAAAACATTATATCACTGTCTGTTGTCTGTTATTGCCACTGCAGCTCCACTTCACTGTCTGCTGTCTGTCACAGTCGCTGTCTGTTACAGTCACTGTCTGAGAAATTACAAGGGTTTGTACAATAACCAGTTATCTCCCCCTATTTAATATTATTAACATGGTGTACGCACCAGTTATAAAGTATGACATCATTATCTATTTATAGAATAAATCACGTTTACCTGGTTATTGTTGACATCAGACGAGACAAGTGATATAAATGTTTGGACTTAGATTTACAATTTGATGACGTAGCAAGGGTTCGGACCGCTGGGCCCTGGGGTAAAGACACTTTTGGTATGGACACATGGGTATTTAATTATAATAAACCAGAACCCAGAGAAAAACTTGCACCCCCCACGTTGCTATGCCACCGTTACAGTTGAATGCTGGGAGTTTAGAATCTGTCCGGGGAATCACCATTTCGTTCCGTTTGATTCTCACCCATTAACTTGGCACCGTTAATACCTCGAACGGACACACGACTCGGTCGAACTAACAGACCATGATCGGGTCGACATGTGAAATATCTCTTCCCCTGGACACTTCCATCGTTTTTACCTTTAGCAGTACGTAACTCAACACCCAGCCAATTACCTTCACCAAATTCTGTTGGTCCAATATATCGTACTAAACCTGAAATATTAATTACCTTTTATTAACGAGAGCAAGAGATAGGGGTTCTATTAGGTGAGAGAAAGAGGGGTGAAGGTGAAAAATCGTAATAATAAAGATGGGCATATACCATTCAGTGTAATATGAAGACAATTTTGCCCGGACAGTAAATGTAACAGGGTTCATTTACGTAGAGGACCTCATTTTTTCGCCCTGTTTGAACAAGTAGACACTGTTTCTTGCCAGGCCCTCTTATCCTGCACCCAGAACAAGGGGAAACCCACGCTGGAAAAACCTTGAGGAAGTTAATTGCTTGGTCAACCAGTAGGATGGAGCAGGAGATCTCCAGGATTGCAAATCTGCATCTCACTCACTGAGCCACCATGACACCCTCAAACCTTTAGAAAGGGTTAATCAAAATTATAACTGATAGTATGTTGGTTTTACACTTACCCAACTCATTATTACACAATACACTCATTCCTACTTACCCAACTCATTATTACACAATACACTCATTCCTACTTACCCAACTCATTATTACAAAGTACACTTATTCCTACTTCTAGTTTTACACTTACCCAACTCATTATTACACAATACACTCATCCCTACTTACCCAACTTATTATTACACAGTACACCCATCCCTACTTACCTAACTCATTATTTACACAGTACACTCATTCCTACGTCTAGTTATACACTTACCCAACTCATTATTACACAGTACACTCATTTCTACTTACCCAACTCATTATTACACAGTACACTCATTTCTACTTACCCAACTCATTATTACACAATACACTCATGCCTACTTCTAGTTTTAAATTAGGACTTGATCCTGGTGTACGAGATATTCCACTTAAACTGGATTTAGGACTGAAAAAAAAAATAAACAATAAACATGTGCTCAACATGATAACAATATGATTTATAGACTTTTATAGAGCCACGGTGACTCAGCGAGTAAGATGTTGGCTAGATAACCTATCAATCTCAGTGTCGATATATAAATATGTGACATTTAACACTAAACAATAACAATATGATCATTATTAACATTATTTTAATTTCTTTTTACCATTATTTTACATATAAAGACTACAAATGAAATGAAATGGGGTTTAGCATCCTAAGATTCTCCTCCAGATAGGGCTAATGAAGACGGGCATACGCCATACAGTGTGCTATGCGGGAAATTGTGCCCGGGTAGCGGCACTTCGGCCTACTCTTATATCGAATTCCAACTGTCAAGGGATCTTTTACGTGCACGCCAATCTATTCACAGGACCTTGTTTTTTTTTTTATCCCATCCAAAAGACTAGACAGCAGTCCTTGTCAGGCCTTCCGTCCTGTACCACTGACAAGGGGCAACCACGTCGGAAAATCCCGATGAACTTTCTCGGCCAATGCAGGGATCAAACACCCGACCTCCAGGCTAGCGAACCAATGTCTTACCCACTTAGCCACCATGGCTCCCCATAAAGATTATAAATTTAACTGTATTTACTGCATTAAAAATTTGCTAATAATGAAAAGTTTGAAATATGGTAGCATGGTAGAAAATACTTTTACTTACGTCTTTGGTGATTTTATTTTGGGAGTGGAACTGTTTAAAGATCCTATAAAAATAAAATTTATCATTAATTATTGTTTCTTCTTCATTGAAGAACAATAAATGAAATGAAATAGGCTTTATAATGTTCTGCTCTGACTGGGCTGATGAAAAGAAACATAGGTCATACAGTGTGGTACGAGGCAATATTAGGCCGGACAGCAGTGCTACGACTTACTCCTAATATATCAAATTCCAACTGCCAAGGAATCTTTTATGTGCACCCCAATGTGTACACAGGACCTTGTTTTTTTATTCCATCTGAATGACAATATGTTGCCATCTGTCCTACACCACCTCGATCTCCCTACTAATTCAATCCCTGTGTTTGTAAGTGCAGAGTAAAAACTTAGGCATTGATTCATCCACAACAAACATCACTTGTTTTTAAGCAGCATTTAGTAACTGAATGAGAATAACACATGAAACAACTGAAGAACCCGGGGGAAGAACGATCTAAGTCACTTTTTCAACGAACCCCAGTTAATGGCGCCATCTGGTAACAAAGTGTATAAGCTTTCTGTGGAACAATCAATTGCAGGTAAAAAACGATCAGAGTCACATCGAACCACAAGTCCATCGTATTTATTTGACCTTAATTTGGCTGAAAAGTGGAAGTCAGTTGTTGTACTGGTAATTATGATTTGTATTAAACATCATTTTGAAGTTGTAATTAAACCCACTCGTTGTTCTGTTTGCATCAAGTATTTTCGTCCAAAAGTCTGTTTTGCCTTTTATGCGAAAAGACAAAAATGTGACTTAGATCCTTCTTCCCGTGGACTCTTCAATTATATGGAATACAAGTTACTTAAAGTTACAATTTCATATTTTCTAAGAAAGTCAAAACATAATTATTTCTATGTCTTTTGCTCAATAGGTTGCCAACTTACTATTATACGATCATAGGTGTCATTCTCACACTTAAAACTCATTTACACCGGAAATAATAACACAATTACCTCCCTTGTTTTCTATTCTCCACCATGGAGTAGCTATCTTCAAACGTTAGAATTTGAAGAGGAAAATGATATTTTTGCCAATTTCTCAACTGGTAATAGTGAATTATAGGATTAATAGGATTATTCTTTAACAAGGTAGGACTGTTTATAGATACCATCTATTTTAAGGCTTTATTTTAATACATTTTAAAAAAATAACTTAAAAATATGAAATTGCAACTTTAAAGGATTTATTCCAATTGAGATTCTCTTGTCATTATTAAGCAAATAAACTTGCAAGTAAGTGTATTCCGTATAACTGTGTCATGAGTTAAATTACATCACTGTCTCTAATATTCTTCAACAATCTGGGGTATTCAGTATTTACATGTACCATGTGACAAAGGATTAAATCAAAGTTCTCTCTTTCGTAACTCAGAAATCTAAACGTAAACTAAGATTAAAAACTACCTTACCATAAGATTTACGCTCTAATCTTTCTGACACGGCACCCCAGCTTATCGTATCGATTGATTCACTAGAATCAAACTTCCGATCTCCCAGTCTAAAAAACAAAAACAAAAAAAATATTAAACACAATCCTGAGCCAAATACAACGAAATGTACAGAAAAACATAGATATACATGTTAACGACTTCTGGAAAACTGGGACGTAAAATTTGAACTGAATTTTGGCTCAGTTATATTTACCCTAAAACATTCCTCAGATTTCATGAACAATTCGGATAAAATACTGTAAATCATTACTTAATTTTGGCTCTTTTCAAGTTTGTTTTATATAAAATTCTTTAACATCTCTGATTGTCAATTGGGTTAATTTTAATCCCTTGCAAACTATAATATGGCAAAAGTTGAATCAGCCCTAAAAAGGTTTAATTCCATTTTGAACCCCTTGTAAACTATAATATTGTGAAACGTGAACCTCTAAATTTAATATCAGTCCAAAAATGGTTCAATTTCGTTTAGTATTTCTGAAGATATACAATGAAAGAGCCAGCGAGAACTGCAATCATCCGAGAAACTTTTTGATGGCTCTCTTTTCGTTCCATTTGAATCCAAGCAGATTATCTAAATAATTAATTTGAGTCCATTTTAGCTTGGAATTAGCCGTGGACAATTTGACATTAAAATACTGATGTAATCGAGGCTTGATTTTGTCTAAATTCTGTGTTCATCTGAAAGATTTTTATATTGGTTAACGAAGACAAAATAACTGGGTGAAGAACGTTGACTGTGTTGGCAATAATCTGTGAGGTGACATGTAAGATTGTTGTTTATATGAACCTATTGTTTGTTAACGCACGACAAGGCAGACGGTACAAACAAACGAACATTGATACTACGTGTAAACACAGAGTGTAGCCAGATCTGATAGCATTAAAAAACAAACACAAGTAACTAGGCTAATATTGTTACAGACACAATAAAACAATCACAACAGACATGATTCTATGGAAATGAAATGAAATGGGGTTTAACGTCCTACTGTTCTGCTCCTAACCTGGGCTAATGAAGACGGGCATACGCCATACAGTGTGCTATGAGAGAAATTTTGCCCGGGCAGCGGCACTATCGGCTGCTCTTATATCGAATTCCAACTGCCAAGGGATCTTTTACGTGCACGCCAATTCGTACAAGGGACCTTGATTTTTCGTCCCATCTGAACTACTAGACAACTGTCCTTGTCAGGCCCTCCGTCCCGCATCACTGACAAGGGGAAACCACGCCGGAACGATTCTATGGAATACTGTTTATTACTGAGTATTTTAATTTAGTTTCTATGTCTTTATTAAGCGATGATGTCTTGTTTATTACCGAGCAACGTTTTAATCAGACTTCTCTGGTCTTTAATATATAAACATGTTGGTCCACGAGTCAAGAGCTACCCAGTCCGTCCCTGAGGACATCCCAATCATTTTAGGTATTCTTTATCTAGTTTAATATCAGTTTTATCCAAGAAGAATCTGATATTCAGCCGTATTCATGGCTGATGTACATGTTCTGAAACCACTTTAAAACTCATGTAGAATAAACAATATTAAAAATGTTTTAAACAATATAATCCATGTTGTATATATAGTATGTATATTATATATAGCAGCCTTCACCGTCAAGCTACAAAATAAACAGCCAAGCTTGTATATGATTCACTGACTGAGCAGTCAAATCAGTGATGTGTTTTCATTGCATCTCAGCCGGAATATATCTAGTTAACCTGTCCTATTTTAATATACCTAATTAACCTGATATGTCCAATTAACCTGACATATCCAATTAACCTGATATATCCAATTATCCTCATATATCCAATTAGCCTGATATATCTAACTAACCTGATATATCCAATAAACCTGGTATATCCAATTAACCTGATATATCCAATTAGTCTGATATATATCTAATTAGCCTGATATATCCAATTAACCTGATATATCCAATTAGCCTGCCCCTATATTCTAGTTATTTTAGTAGAACTTTAACCTTAAATTAATAAAAACCCTTTATATAATAAACACACTGTTTTAGTGTTTACTAAAGAAGAATATATGCCCTTTCTCTTCAAATACACATCCCAGCTAATAAAATAAAGCTTTGACTTTGCATTCATCAAAGAGGATCAATCCATGACTCTTCGTTTTGTCAACCCAACATTTTGTTTACAAATTGGACAAAATAAGGGAGTTAAATCCTTTATCAATAGTCACAGAGGGCCTTTGGCACAGGGGTAAAAACAAAATAAGGGATTCCCCCACATTTAACAACCTTTTGACACCCTTTCCATCTGATACCCTCACGATCAACATCCATTCCATTGGTTGACAGCACTATTCCATAAACCATGTGCCAGAAATCAGTGTCCTGGGATTATCTCCCTTTGTTAAATGCATGTTACAGAGGTTAAAGTTCACACCAGCTGTGCATTAGTAAGGCTGAAGGGGGCGTTATCTATCATAACACTACAGACAAGTACTCGGGGTACACGTCTGTATACAGATGAGTACCCAATCGGTTGAAAAACTCTGCAAGGGTTCTTGACTTCCTGTAAGGGTACCTAAATCTTGACGAATAATGACTCATCAATCAATACTGTATAAAAATCACCAAGTTTGGTCTGGTATGTTATGACTGCCATTATGTTGAGGTTTCTTGCAATTGGAGAAATATTTTCCGAGAATTCCAAAGTCATATCACATGACCACCTGCGAGATTTTACAAATTTTACAGGAAGTTTGGCTCCATTACTGAGTTTTTCAACCGATTAGGGTCCCCTAGGTACCCTTCTGTAGCGCTATAGCCGACAACGACCCCTTCAGTATAAGTAAGTGTTAAATACTAAGCAATAAAAACAAGCACAGAATAAAATATTTCTTATTATAGATACATAACTTCTTCTCTTGGCCCTGTGGTCGGAAATCAGCATAAAAAACAAAATGCAATAGAAAACAATTTATCTATTTAACTCAAACACAACAAGCATTAAAATGTGGGTTTCATGTCCACTTGACATATACTATGTAATTTCGGGACTAACATATGGTTCGATTTTATTCTAATAATTCGATTGTACTAAGACGTCTTTATCAGTGGGAGGAAACCAGGGGTCCCAGAGAAAACACAAATCCTTACTCCTTGTCACGTACATGTGGGAAATCGAAACTACACCACTCAATGACAGATCACATGATTTATTGTTTAAAATAATAAGATAAATTATGCCTTCTTCTTCAATTTGTCACCCTGAGTAATTTGGAAATCACATGACATGAAATTGGGTTTAAGGTTGTACTCTGCACCAACTGGGCTAATGAAGATATGGATATACACCATACAGTGTGCCATGACGGGATATACACCATACAATGTGCTATGATGGATATACACCATACAGTGTGCTATGATGGTTATACACCATACAGTGTACTATGTCAGTGGGATATTATGCCAGGACAGTCGTGTTTCCATGGCGATGATAATTCTATAACAGCTTGTTATTTTATAGATAAAGAACTAAATGATATACATGTACATAATCTATGACACCCACATGGATTATACTAGATATAAATTAGATTTATTTTAATAACTAATATTAAACATGCTTTAAATCTACTAGTAATTAGTGTTAAATATCTATCTATATCATTAATCAATCAGTAATCATGCCTGTATCAATATCTAACTATATCAGTAATCATGCCTGTATCAATAACTATCTATATCAGTAATCAATCAATAATCATGCTTGTATCAATATTTGGTATATATTATAAACAAATTGACGGTCACCCTTGACATAAAGTACCTGTTACCAATAAAGAGAGAGAGAGAGAAATGGGGTTTAACGTCCACTCGACACAAACTAGGTCATTTCGGGACTAACATATGGTTCAATTTTATTTCCATAATTCGCTTGCGCGTAGGAGTCTTTAGCAGTGGGAGAAACCGGAGGACCCGGAGAAAACCCACGAGGTTGGACAGGCGACCCTACTCCTTGTCACGTACAACCAGGGATTCGAAACCAGAGACAGACAAACCTACGCCTAGGGACAGCTAACCCTACTCATAGAAACATATAAAAAACAAAACGTGTCTTACATACTTTTGAATTCTTGAAAGTGGAGCAAACACGCCATGTTTTGGTTGACAGGAAAAATAACGAACTCCTGACACGGAACCATCATTTTTCCCTGCTGGTCGATCTAATTCTATTCCATACCACGTACCTAATAAAATACAATTATAAACAATTACAAATATTATATAAATACAATTACAAACAATTAAAAATATTATATAAAATACAATTATAAACAATTACAAATATTATATAAAATACAACTATAAACAATTATAAATATTATATAAAATAAAATTATAAACAATTACACATATTATATAAAATACAATCATGAACAATTCAATAATTGTACGGTAACCAAGGTTAGGGCAGTCACACACTTCCAAAAGAGTATATAACAAAAGGCGATATTAAGTTTGCCAGTAAAAAATAAAAGGGCCTCTCTTCTTGCAATAAAGGATTTTTTTGTCAAGCTAAGCGAGAGAAAATAAAATAGCCAGAAAAACTAAATGTATCTGACACAAACTAGATCATTTTGGGACTAACATATGGCTCAATTTTATTTCCATAGGGGTCCTCAGCAGTGGCAGGAAACCGGAGGACTCGGAGAAAACCTACGAGGTTGGACAGGCGATCCTACTCATTGTCACGTACAACCGGAGAATCGAAACCATGCGAGTTGACTCAATGACAGACTCTAGGATACAGTGTGCACATGTTAACCATTCAGCCATCCAACCGTGTGGGTTTACTCCGGGTACTCCAGTTTACTCCCACAGGAAAGACCCCAGCGCGCTAAGATAATAAAAATAAACAAGGTTGAACGTCCTACTTTTCTGAACCAAGAGAGTAACCTTGATCCAGTTAAATTTGTAATTTTAATTACTCCATAGTATCCCACAGTGAAACCTTGATATTCTTATTTTTATATAAGTATGAACAACTAATGGTGTGAATCTATAACACATGATATTTACATGTACAGAAGGATTAAATGGGTTTAAAACAAACTAAACCGCTTTGATTTAGGTCAACAGATTGAATTTATTCTTTTGATCTGATGTGTTATATCAGTGACATGAAATGAAAAGAAATGGGGTTTAACGTCCTACTGTTTTGCTCTGAACTGGGCTAATGAAGACGGGCATACACCAAACAGTGTACTATGGTGGAAATTTTGCATGGAAACGGCACTAAGGCCTACTCTTATATCGAATTCCAACTGTCAAGGGATCTTTTATGTGTACACGGGACCTCGGTTTTTCATCCCATCCGAATGACTAGACAGCTGTCCTTGTCAGGGCCTCCATCCTGCATCACTGACAAGGGAGAACCACGCTGGAAAATCTGGATGAACTTTCTCGGCCAATGCAGGGATCGAACACTCGACCTCCAGGCTGGCGAGCCAGCATCTTACCCACTTAGCCAGTGTGATCCCCTGTTATATCAGTCTATCATATTGGGGCTGGAGGGTGGCATAAACAGTGAGAAAGAGAGAGAAATGGGGTTTAACGTCCACTCAAAACAAACTAGGTCATTTCAGGACTAACACATAATGGAATTTTAGGGGTCTTTAGCAGTGGGTGGAAACCCGGAGAAAACCCACGAGGTTGGACAGGCGACCTTACTCCTAGTCACGTACAACCGCGGAATCGAAACCCCGCCAGTTGACTCAATGACAGGCCTTATGATACAGCGCGCATGTGCTAACCATTCGGCCATCCAACCCCCCAGTGTCATATCGGGGCATGAGGGTGGCATAAACAGTAAACATATAGGACAAACATACAGTGACAATATTCAATGATTAATTTCATATTGGTTTTCTTTCAATGTTTCGTTTCACGTATATTGAAATTTCATAACCTGTCAGTTTCCTTTGAAATTAAAATAGAGTTACCTCCCATGCCCAGCACTGTTAATGACAGAGGGAGCCACAGTGGCTCAGTGAGTAAGGTGCTGGTCAAATTACAAGGAGCTTCAGGGTTAGGTCCTGGTCGAGAAAGTTCCCCAGGACCTGGCAAGAGAGAGAGAGAGAGAGAACTGGAGGACCCAAAGCATACCCACGAGGTTGGAGAGGCGACTCTACACCTTGTCCATACAACCGGGGAATCGAAACCACGCCAGCTGAGTCAATGACAGACCTTATGATACAACACGCACGCGCTAACCATTCGACAATCCAACCACCCCACCTGGCAAGGTCAACAGCCAATAGTTCAGATGGGACAAAAAACAGTTGGAATTCGAAATAAGAGTAGGCCATAGGAGGTCTTGAGTTTTACCCCAGGGTTAGTCAAGAAATTTCTCCAGGATTTCATAATGGGACAAACATTGTGCGATACATTTTGTCCTCACAAACTGCCATAGTAGGATACCTGATACCCCTGGCTTTCCATTCACACTAGCTTTCTAGGGGGGAAAACGGAGAACATAGAGGAATCTCCACAAGGTTAGGAAGGCCACCTTACTCCTTGTTACGTACAAGCGGGGAGTCATTCAGCCACCCAACCCACATTTACATATAAAAAATTATTTGTTTCATACCTGATGCAAATTTTGTATCACCAATAAATTTAACTGTTCCTTTTCTTTGTCCAGCAACAATAACTCTTTCTTCCACGTCAATCTCACCTAAATCTGATACAGACGACGCTCGGGATTTACTTAAACCTGGTAATTATAAACATAATACAGTTTATATCTTCTGGTATGATTGTTCTGTCTCTAATTTATTGTACAGTTCTCCTGTCTTGTCTATTACATAACTAGTATATCTAAATAACATTCTGTTTTAAATTTAAACTGGATCACTACAGACAGACACGGGACTGTACAATACCATGGACACCAACGGATGTACCCCAGATCCATTTACTCAAATGTGGTGGCCATCTTGAAATCCAACATGGCAGCAGTTTGACAGAATCTTTGATAATGCTCAATCATATAGAAAACATGGGTATAGGCAATTGATTTTCGGACTGAATTAGGTCCTTTTGGTAACCATTTTGGAATTCAAGATGGCAGCCACTCGGGTTGATTTTATTTTTAGTACTGGGTGTGCATTACAGTGGTATATTCTTTATATACTGGTTGTGTATTACATGTGGTATATTGTTTATATACTGGGTGTGTATTACACATGGTATATATACTGGCTGTGTATTGCATGTGGTATATTGTTTATATACTGGTTGTGTATTACACGTGGTATATTGTTTATATACTGGGTGTGTATTACACATGGTATATATACTGGCTGTGTATTGCATGTGGTATATTGTTTATATACTGGTTGTGTATTACATGTAGAATATTGTTTATATACTGGGTGTGTATTACATGTAGAATATTGTTTATATACTGGGTGTGTATTACATGTGGTATATTGTTTATATACTGGCTGTGTATTGCATATGGTATATTGTTTATATACTGGTTGTGTATTACATGTAGAATATTGTTTATATACTGGCTGTGTATTGCATGTGGTATATTGTTTATATACTGGTTGTGTATTACATGTGGTATATTGTTTATATACTGGGTGTGTATTACATGTGGTATATTGTTTATATACTGGGTGTGTATTACACGTGGTATATATACTGGCTGTGTATTGCATGTGGTATATTGTTTATATACTGGCTGTGTATTGCATGTGGTATATTGTTTATATACTGGCTGTGTATTACATGTCGTGTATTAAAATCCTCTGTGGTATATCTTCTGTTTTGATCAATCAGTGCTACCCAAAACAGCACATTATCTTACTAAATGACAACTTTTTGCACATTGTTTCATTGGCAATTGAACTGCTTATTACTGGTGGAGTTTTCTACCAGTTTTCTCTACTTATTATTGAGCTACCTTCAACTACACTTCTCTAATTAGCACCTGAACAGCTGTAAACTACCTGAAATAACTACCGTCTATAACACCAAGGGGTTTAACATCCTACTTATTTACACCAACACTGAAAATAGGGCAGTGTGCTAAGAGGGAAATGGGGCAGTGTGCCACGAGGGAAATGGGGCAGTGTGCCACGAGGGAAATGGGGCAGTGTGCCACGAGGGAAATGGGGCAATGTGCCACGAGGGAAACCTTGTCCGACAAAGGCATTTTCACTTAAAAAGGGGTTTAACATCCAACTTATTTACACCAACCCGGTCACTGAAAATCGGGCAGTGTGCTACGAGGGAAATTGGGCAGTGTGCTACGAGGGAAATGAGCAGTGTACTACGAGCGAAATGGGGCAGTGTGCCACGAGGGAAATCTTGTCCGAAAGAGGCATTTTCACTTAATCTGCATTAAATTCCAATGGTTTTATTATGTGCATGCCACTGACTAACTCATCCAAATTACTAGAAGTTCTTTGATTGGCATTTAGTAATGGAATATATTAACACAAGGTACAATTTTAGGGATACACATTTACTGAGTTTCATACTAAGCGACGTTTCGACAAGGATAAAGACGAGAGTATCGTCGACGAAACGTCGCTTAAGATTAAAGTCTGAAATTGTGTATCCCTAAAATTGTACCTTGTGTTATTAGAAGTTGTTCCTTACAATGGGAATCAGAAAATAAAACAAGAAACAAACAGAGCTGATTTTTGTTGTGTTTTTTAATCATACACTTGGTCAAAAAAATAGAAGTTTGGTAATATGATATGAGCTATATTTACAAAATAAATCAAAATAACAAAAACAAAGTATAATGATAATATTAACTGATTAAGTCAAATGTATATATACATATTGTCTAAACACACAGTAAAACAACTCACATGATATGATTTTAATACTATTTTTCTGTTCTATTTTTGAAGAGAGAGAGAGAAACTGGGTATATTTGCTATTTGTTTTTAAATGAGCACTACTACATGCGTTTAAACCATCTTATCAAAGCCTGTCGATCAATATGATTGCAACTGTACAAAGAATAAACACACCACATTACATGCTGATCATACCTGAATTAGCAGAGCCTAATTTGGAAAGCAGAACTGGGGCCTGTTTCACCAAATTTTAACTAAGATAAAATCCAAATTTTAGTAATTTGATTGGATAATATTAGATTGATTTGAGTGCTTACCCAATCAAAATTAGAGTATCTACTAAAATTCAGATTTTATCTTTAGTTAATTTCGTGAAGCAGGCCCCAGGTTTTAGAAAATTAATGAAAGTCTTGAAATTTGACACCAGTCCTAGACAACTTCAGGCTTTGTAAGACACTGTTCCATGTATTTAGATTTTTCTATATCATTACTAGTGTTTATTTTACTGATATTTTTAATACACAGTTTCAAGGATTAAGTATGTGAGTACTGCAGTAGTGTCCATCCTTTTAATCAAGGATTAAGTACATCTAGTAGTGTCCATACTTTTTGTCAAGTTCAAAACAAATTGTCATTTCCAGACCGACATTTATATGTATAGATTAATAATCTCAACGACAACACCCAGCTTGTTATAGAAACCAAAAACAGATAAATATTGGAGGATTACTTTCACTCTTCTAGTTTAAAGAATTCACAAGGTTCTACAAAGTGAAACAAGGGGCATAACTCTAGAAGTAATTAACAGAAATTGTTGAAATTCAATAGGTTTCTTCGTCTCACTAACATAATCATACATAAATTTTAAAATGTTTGGATGACAAATGTCAGTGTAGTCGTGGAGTGTAAACAAAAAATTGTAGACAACTGACCACTCGGCAAATCTGAACATATTCCAGTACCCTACATCTAGCCTCAGCTGTATGACGAAGTCCGCCATTGGAACTACTTTCAAGTTCCCGGATTACTAAAGCCATAGCCCATGACGACGCCTTTGAAGAATGTTTTATCATACAAATATTTCAAAGTCTTAAGCTGTTTTACTTTCCAGTTTATCAGATTTTCTTCAAACAACAACAATTTTGCACTACACATGCTTCAAACGACACAATTTTGATAACTTTACTAATAAGTAAACCGGTGCCGCATCGCAAATGTATAGGCGTAGGTACATATCACTTACCGTCATACAGCCGAGGCTAGATGAACATGTAGAGTATCGGAATCTGTCGAGGTTTGCCGAGTGAACAACTGACGTCCCAAGATAATATGCGAACATATTTCCATATTGGCAAATAAAAATTTACTAGCTAAGATTAAGATAAATATTAAAGAAATCTTTGGATCTTTCGCTCCTTAAATTGTGAGCTAAATGTTTGTCATCACTTTTGTACATGACAACCAACTGAATAAGAATAAACAGAATCTTGAAATTATTACCATGTACCTTAGCAACGTGTACCTTAGCAACATGTACCTTAGCGCCGTTTCTTAACTAATGTTTTTATAATAACAACTTAAAGTGGAGATGTTCGGATTCGGTCATAACCGGTATAAACCAAATTGATCAAAATTCAAAAACCATTTTTTATGGATCAAAATAACAATTGATTTTATTATCATTTTATAGACAGATAGAGAGAAATGCGGTTTAACGTCCACTTGACACAAACTAGGTCATTTTGGGACTAACACATGGTTCAATTTTATTTCAATAATTCGCTTGCGCATGGGGGTCTTTAGCAATGGGAGAAAACCCACGAGATTGGACAGGCAACCCTACTCCTTATCACGTACAACCGGGAATCGAAACCTCGCCAGTTGACAGGCAAACCTACTCCTTGTCACATACAACCATGGAATCAAAACTATGCCAGTTGACTCAATGATAGACCTTATGATACAATGTGCACCCCCCCCCCCATCATTTAAAAGAGATGGTTTCAATTAATCACCACTGACTAGTGACTAATAACCATGTCCAATTTGAGATGACCAAATGTAACACTACATGAAATAAATCAATAATATTTATTTGGCTATTTCCATAGACTTGGAAAATGTTTGGCCGTTTTGGTTTATAATCCCAGCAATCAATGACAAGTCGAATCAAAGACCAGTTGGAAAAATATATGTGTACAGACCAATCGGGCCAATAATAGACAAGGCATTGGGAAAATACATGCACAAGAGTTGACTCAGGACATCACCAAATATCTGCATGTCACTTAATGATGTTATATAATACATAATTTTCAGTCACAATACTTTCAGTCACATTTTTTTTTTTTTTTTTTTTTTTTTTTTAAACATGTAGTCTAGCTTTAGGGTATGGTTGGCACATGTTGCTTCATCCCAAAACATTCCCCCCGGGCGGTTTCATCCCAGCGTAAGATTTAATATAAATGCTCATTTTTAATTTAATGTGTATTCGAGGGATTAAATGATTCCTCTAATTTTCGGATGAAACTGCCTGGATTAAATGTTTTTATGTGATGTAATAACTAACAACCGAATAACTTCCTAGTTTTCAATAAATAAGTATTTATCTTTCTTGTAGAAACAGTACAGCTATAAGTAAATTATTCTTTGTATTAAGTACAGTAACTCCTTTAACTTAAATGTTCCAATCAGAATTAATCACTTAAAAATGTAAGGCACTTGATTTTATTACGCGATTTGGACCACATTTACACAATAAAATTATAATAATAATGTTTTTTGGCAGATTTCAAATGAATCTTGTGTTGCTGCCTCGGTTGGATGGATGATTTTCAGTTTTAATAATTACTTGTTCGTTAACATACATACAAGTAGTCAAAAGTAGTCA